GGAAGATTTACTGCTGAGTGAAGCAAGCCAGGCTATGAGGGAGAGACACTGTATGTCTCCACTTGAGGGAGAGACATTGTATGTCTCGACTTAATTTATACCGAATGTCTGCACTCTATGGATGAAACTCAAAGACCAGAGGATATAGAAACATAGAAAATGGTTGTAGATACAAAATACAGTGTGGGAAGAAGGTGGGAGAAGGACGAAAGTCTGAGGAAAGACATTAAGGAGAAAAATAGAGAGGCAAGATATTTATGGGACACAGAAATGGGTTATTATCTGTTGATGATAATGTGTATAGTATTCCCAACTATAGTGAGAAATGTATTCATGCTGGAACATTTACAAGCTAAATGGTGTATGTGATTGAATGTATAAAAGAAATTAAAATAAAATAAAATTTAAAATATTTAAAATTTTATATTATATATATACATATATATGTACAATTGTGTGTGTGTGTGTGTATTCATTTATTTAAGTTTTTGCCATAAAGTACAAGCAAAAAATTATACCTGAGGTGGAAGAAAATAATTGATTTTTACCACAGTCAGACACAACTTCTTGAAAAGCAGCTTTTTTATCTTCTAGGAAATTTAGATTTAAGGCAAAAAAGGGGAAAAAAAAGAACTTCATAAACACAAGAGAATTAGATTTTATTAACGTAGATAACTAGATATTGTACATCACAGGCAGTAGAAAACTAGACTGACAGCTTAACAATTCTAAAATAATATAATTTCAGATTTTATTATTATTTATATCCTGACCCTTCACCTGAATGAATAAGCTCCCAGGAAATCAAGGCAAAGTACTTCCAAGCCTTTCTCAAAGAAATGCTCACATGAAGAACATTTAAGAATGTTTCTCAAATGCAGTCATCATTTAACCGCAAAAAATGCACAAAAGAAAACTGAAAGAAAAAATAGTAGTACCACGATGCTACTGCTATTATGGTTCATTTTAATCTTCTTCATAGCTTGCTATTGTCCCAATAGTGATCATATATTACTTTCAAAATAATACCAATAAATAGTTTTACAATAAGATAAAATTAGAAGGTTAAAAATGATTGGGGCCGGCAGGTAGCGTGGTGGTTCAGGGTGCTGGACTCCCACATGGCTGATCATGGTTCGAGTCCCAGAAGTGGCAGCTTGCTTTCTCATTTCTCTCCCCCCTCACTTTTTTCTCTCTCTTTGGTCAAATTAAAATAAATAAATAAATAAATAAATAAAGTTAAATAAAATAATAAAAATATTTTTAAAGGTTGAAAAGATCAATTACTGGGCCAGCAGATGGCATGGTGGTTAAAAGTGGTGGACTCCCACATGGCCAAATGCAGTTCAAGTCCTGGATGCAAAGACTTGGTTTCTCACTTTCTCTCTCTCTGTCTCCCTCTGGTCAAATTAAAAATAATGACAGTAATCATAATAAATAAACTTAAATAAATAATTCTTTAGAAAAGAAAATCCATTACCCAAGAGCATTTAGAAGACTTAAAATGTTCTGTACACAATTCAAAGAATCTGTACCAAAATTCATAAAATTCTAAGACATAATGGGCAAGACATGACCTAAGACAATTTATAGTGATTAGTTACATCGATGAGGGTGTTTGTCAGGCAGTGTTACAAATAACAGATCCTCCAACTCTTATCTTCTCTACTCTGAGACACAGGTACACATCCCACACTAAACCTGATCTAGTCCTCTTCCTGGCCCAACTTCACTAGCCACAGTAATGGATTTAGGCATCTTAAACACGTCAAAATATTTTCTACTTTCTTAAGTAGAAAAGTGCATTTTACCTGGGTCTGTATTTGTACTTGCATCCTGACTCTCTATAGCTTTCTTCTTTACAGAGGCCATGAAATGCAATCCAGCTGAAGTATTAACATCTTGCAGCATTTCTTAAAAATAACAAAACATTAAATGTGATCATTGAAAGATGAATATATACTGGGAGCCCAGAAAGCACAGTACCTAACTCAGGCAAGGTATACTATGGGGCGTTAGGATGTTATTAGAATGGATTTTCTGAATAAGCTGTTATGGAAGCTGAATTTCAAAGACATAGTAGGATCAAAACCAAAATTGGGGAGTATGATTCTGTATGTCCAACTTAGAAATCTAGATATTCTCTGGCTAATAAAGATACAGGAGAAACTGTTAAGCAGGAAAGTGATATGCTAAAATTGATATTCTAGGGAAAATATTCCGTATATAGCCAGTATACGGAAAGTGGGTTGAGTGGATAAATTGAAGTAAGGCAGTCAGTTAGATGACACTGCTACAGCATTTTAAATAAGTACCTCTAATGGTGAAGGATGGAGAGAGGATAAATTCAAGAATCATAAAGGAGGGGACCAGCAAGTGGCGTGGTGGTTGGGGGTGCTGGACGCTCTCACATGGGCCACCACAGTTCAAGTCCCAGACCTGGTGCTTATTCTCTCGCTTTCTCTCTTTCTCTGTGTCTCTCTCTGGTCAAATTAAAATAAATGAATAAATAAAAATTTTAAAAGTTCTTTAAAAAAAGAATCATAAAGGAGGTAAAACAGGCAAGAACTGGTTTTGAGTAGAAAAGAAGGAAAAGAAGGCAGCATTCAGAATAACAGGGCTGGCGCCATAGTACAAAGGTTAAGAAAGCCAATTCCCACATGGCCAATGGGAATTCAAGTCCTGGCACTAGCACTTTGAAAACATACTGGCATATATGTGTGTGAACCCAAAATCCTGAAGGGAAGGAAGAATGGAGTAAAAAGGAATGAGGCATGACCACATCCCATCTGGGGGCTTTCTCTCTCTCTCTCAAGTACAAATGCCTTCTGGGAATAAAAAAAAAAATTAGAATAACATAGGAAAAAATGGAATTAAAAAATAAAAATATAAACTTTATTGATCAACATAAGTTTCATCAAGTTTGAGGCATTTAAAAAAATCTTTTTCTTAAGAATCATTTCTTTGGGGCCAGTAGGTGGCATATGGTCAACCGTAATTGGAGTCCTGGACCCGGCAGTTTGAAACTCACACCAGGCATTTGATAGAAAATGGTCAAATAGTGAAGCAAGCCAGGTGGTAAAAGAGAGATATTGTATGTCTCCACCTAATTTATACCTATTGTCCACAATCTATGGTAGTAATTAAAACACTGGAGGACATAAAAGTAGTGAAAATAGTTATGGACACTAGAGACAGTGTGGAGGGATGGTAGGAGAAGGAAAAAGTACAGGGAAGGAAATCAGAGAGAAAAAATAGAGAGGCAAGGCATTTGTGCCTGTTGACAATAATGTGTATAGTATTCTCAACTGGACTGGTCTGAAGTGTATTTCATGTTGGGTAAATTCTCTTTACAAGCCAAATTCTGTATAGCGACTAAATGTTTAAAACAAATAATAAAATGATAACAAATGGTTTTTTGGAGAGAGCTTTTAGCTATAGGACATGTGCACTTCCCAGAAGGAGAGAGAGAGAGACAGAAAGCGAGAAATCAACCCCCCCCCTCCAGGGGGGATTGGCCACGCCGCAATCCCTTCTCCATTCTCCTCTAGGGATCTTGGGCATGCATGCACAGGTGCCCAGAGTGAGTTTAAGCCACTGGGTCTGGGACTCGATCCACGGGCAACCACATGGTAGTCCAGGGACAAACCCAACTTCTGGTCCCAATAAGAAAATTTTTTAAAAAAAGAAAAAACTGAAAAAGAAAGAAGAAACTCATGCTGGGCATGAGTGCACGTATACCCAAAATCCCAAGAGGAGAATGGAGAAGGGATTGTGGCATGGCCACCGTCACCCCCACCCCCTCCGGCCCCGGGAGTGATTTATGGCTGTCTATCTGTTTCTGGCAAGCACACGTGCCCAATAGCAAAAATCTCTCTCCTCTCCCCAAAAGAATTATCTATTTAATTATATTTATTAATTATTATTTCTTTAGTTTGCTACAGGGCATACACTCACCAAAGTGAGAAAAAAGAAAGTGAGAACGCAAGCCACCAGGTCTGGGACTCGAATTGTGGTCTGTCATGTCACCAGGTCTGGGACTAGAATCGTGGTCAGCTATGTAGGAGTCCAGTGCCTTAACTACCACACCACTTGCCGGACCCAAGTTTGAGGCATTTTTGCTAAGTGATGATACTAATAATTTAGTTCCATCCTTAGAACTGAGAGCGTCTAGGGAATTTAACCATGTCAATGCAGTCTTTTTGCATCATCAACTGAAAAAGAATGAGTGCCTTTTTTTTTTTTGGAGAGATTTTCACTGTAGGGCGCGTGCGCTCGCCAGACGGACAGAGAGAGACATAGAGACAGAAAGCGAGAAATCACTCCCCAGGGGGGATGGTCACGCCGCGATCCCTTCTCCTCCATTCTCCTCTCGGGATCTTGGGCATGCACGCACACGCGCCTGGCGTGAGTTTTAAGCCACCGGGTCCGGGACATGAACCGCAGTCGACTACGTGGGAGTCCAGCGACATAGCCATTACGCTAACTGCTGGTTCCCAAAGAATGAGTGCCTTTTAAAGGTTTTTGTTTTTTTTTTTTGAGAGAGTTTGTTGTTGTTGTTTTTTTCCACTATAGGGCACGTGCACTCGCCAGACAGACAGAGAAAGACACAGAGACAGAAAGCGAGAAATCACTCCCCAGGAGGAATGGTCATGCCGCAATCTCTTCTCCATTCTCCTCTCGGGATCTTGGGCATGCACGCACACACGCCCGGCATGAGTTCTAAGCCACCAGGTCTGGGACGCGAACCACAGTCAACTACATGGGAGTCCAGCGACATAGCCATTATGCTAACTGCTGGCTCCCCCCTTTAATAGTTTTTAAAAGATAAAAAGAAAACAGAAGGAGTCAAATGAGACACTCGCAAAACTGATGAGAGGAATGAGCAAGACCACTGTCATGACGAGGACTCTGGTGACGATTTTCTAGGCATTTTTCTGATTAAAGCTTAACTTCCTCAGGACCAGCAGATGGCGTAATGGCTATGTCGCTGGACTCCCACGTAGTCGACCGCAGTTCGTGTCCCGGACCCGGTGGCTTAAAACTCACGCCGGGCGCATGTGCGTGCGCGCCCAAGATCCCGAGAGGAGAATGGAGGAGAAGGGATTGCGGCGTGACCATCCCCCCTGGGGGGTGATGTCTTGCTTTCTGTCTCTCTGTCTTTCTGGCAAGAGACTGCACATGCCCAATAGCAAAACCTCTCAAAAAAAAAAAAGTTTACCTTCCTCAAAAAATTCTCATAGTGGGAACCAGCAGTTAGCGTAATGGCTATGTCGCTGGACTCCCACGTAGTCGACCGCAGTTCGTGTCCCGGACCCGGTGGCTTAAAACTCACGCCGGGCGCATGTGCGTGCGTGCCCAAGATCCCGAGAGGAGAATGGAGGAGAAGGGATTGCGGCGTGACCATCCCCCCTGGGGGGTGATTTCTCGCTTTCTGTCTCTATGTCTCTCTCTGTCTGTCGGGCGAGCGCACGCGCCCTACAGTGAAAATCTCTCAAAAAAAAAAAAAAATTCTCATAGTAAGTAGAAAGTCAAATCTTGGTTGACTGTCTATGTGGGAATCCAGCAATGCCTGTCCCCTGCCTTAGGGAGGACAGTCACGCCGCAAACCCTTCTCCTCAATTTTCCTCTTGGGATCCTGGGCATGTACGCACATGGTTGACTATATGCAAGTCCAGTGACATAACCATTAGGCCATCTGCTGGTCCCGAAAGACATACATTATTAAGAGAGAAAAAGAAAGCAGTTTTAAGACAAATGGTGGGAATCAGTGGGTGGTGCGGTGGTTAATGTGCTGGACACTACCACATGGCTGACCATGGTTCAAGTTCTGGACTTGGTGGCTTGCTTTCTTACTTTCTCTCTCTCTGGTCAAATTTAAATAAATGAATGAATAAATTAAATTAATAAATAATAATTTAACAAAAGACAAATGGCAGCAAGAAGAATGCCAGGTGGATTAAGAAGCTGAGAGTCTGAAGCTCAGTAGGTCACACGGGATATGATTACTTGGTTTAGGTGAGCAGAAGCCTGATGCAGGCCAGTGGCACTGAGAAAGGAAGAGAAGATTGGTTCAAGCAAGGACTAACTGAACACAGGAAGACAAAGAAGGGGGACAAACAAGGGTGACTTTCAAGGAGAAATCTGAGCTAATCAACACAATTGTGTTGTCACTAACAAGAAGACACCAATTTAAAATGTGGACATATTAAATTTAAGGTGAAGGTAGAAAAAAGAAAGATGAAGCAGACTACATGTCTATCTGAGGATCATCAAAAAAATGTAAGACTTAGTCATTAGAGTGAATGGCCCTGCAAGGAAAAGAATGAGTAAATGAGAGAGAGAGAGATTATGAATAACTGAGAAAACCTTAGGGAATACATACATTCAAGGAGTGAGAAATAAATTAACCAATTCAAGAAAGAAAATTTACTATTTGTAAATAATTTCCTTTTTCTGAAAAGACTGTTTTTATTTTTTTGTTGTTATTTTTAACTGTCAGAGGATGTGTGTGCTCACCAGAGGGAAGAAGGGCAAGAAAGAGAGAGAGAGAGAGAAAGAGAGATAGAAAGAACTTCCCAATGGAATGTGGTGATGCTGCAATCCTTTTACCACCATCCTTCTTCCCATCAGGGTTTTTGGGTAGGCATGCACATGCACTCAGCTTGTTTTTCAAGCTTCTGGGGCTGGGATTCAAAATGTAGTCAGCCATATGGATCTAGTTCCCTTAACTGCTGTGTTATGCAGCCAGCTCTCATTCCTCTGTGTTTTGCCATTGTTGTTGTTATTTTTTAAGTTACTAAAAAGTATATGTGCTCACCAGAGAGAGACAGAAAGCAAGAAAGCAAGCCACTACATTTGGGACTTTAACCATGGTTGGCCTCATAGAAGTCTAATGCCTTAACTACCATGATTTCTGTTTTTTGTCTGTTTTTTAAATTTGTTTGTTTTTTTTTTTGTTTTTTGTTTTGTTTTGTTTTGAGAGCGTGTTTTGCTATAGGGTACATGTGCTTGCCCAAAGAGACAAAGAGAGACAGAAAGTAAAAAAATCATCCCCAGAGGGGATAGCCACATCACAATCCCTTCACCTCTCAGAATTTCGGGCACATATGCACACGTGCCTGTTGTGAGTTTCAAGTCGCTGGGTCGGGGACTCAAAACACACTATGCCACACAGAAGTCCAGCACCTTAACCACTACTCCATCTACTGGCCCTGCTGCCTCTGTTTTTAATGTGCATGAATTTTCTATGATGAATTCAATTAAAGGCATATTCTTCCATTAGACCTCATATATCTTAGGAGATTCTAATTAACTGTATTGTTCTAAAGCAGGGATCAGCAAACTTTTTCCATGAAAGGCTAGACATAAATATTATAAGCTTTGTGGGCCATATGATCTCTGTTGGCAACTAACTACTGCATCCTGCTACAGGAAGAAAACACACACAAGATTATAAGAAAACAAATGAGCATGGCTATGTTTCACTAAACTTGACTTTAAAAAAAGGCATGTTTCTATAGGCCATAGTTTGTCAGCACTATTGTATTGGATAACATAGCAGAGCACACACAAACAGACTCACATCCCATATTGTCAAAAATAACATGAAATTTAGTCTCATTTTTATATTGTATATATTTCTGGAAAGCTGACTTTAACTCTATACTTGGACATTACATTAAAAGGCATATACATACCAAAGGGAATGTCAAAGTCATCCAAAGGCTGGGAACTGTGATATTCTTGTTGTTCCTAAACGAATTCCCAAATAATTAATCTATGATTAACTTCAAGACTTCATTATTAAGGAAGCAATATTCAAAGTTATAGAGTTGAACTCTTAGGTATAGGCTGAATTTATATCATTCTACGCATAATTATTTATGTATCAAATTTACTCCATCAAAGTAACTCTGTAAAAGCATTTGTGACATTTACAAGTCAACTAATGAAAAAGAACATACCAATTTTATGCAAAGTGTCTAAGTTAACACATACAATTCTCCACTGCAGTATAGCTTTGACATTCGAATAGTAACCTCACCCTTTCAAAATCATGCGTGGACTCAATATTTTACTAAGTGCCTTTGGAAACGTTCTTGAGGACTTACTGAAAAAGGGCACCTTTAAAAATCTTTGTAAACAAAACTATGTTTCTGTTTATTTAATCAATTCTTGTAAAAACAGTTAAGTGAACAAGTCATCAAATTTAAAAAGTGTTTAGGGACCAGCAGTTACCGTAATGGCTATGTCACTGGACTCCCACATAGTCGACCACGGTTCGAGTCCCGGACCCGGTGGCTTAAACTCACACCAGGCACATGCATGTGTGTACACAAGATCCCTAGAGGAGAATAGAGGAGAAGGGATTGCGGCGTGGCCATCACCCCTGGGGGTTGATTTTTCGCTTTTTATCTCTCTATCTTTCTGGTAAGTACACGTGCCGTATAGCAAAAACCTCTCAAAAAAAAAAAAAATAATTAAAAAGTGTTTAAAAAGATCTGACTTGAAGGACCAGCAGATGGCATAGTGGTTGCATTGCTGGATTCCCACATAGTCAGTCAACCAAGGTTTGACTCCTGCACCCAGTGTATTGAAACTCATGCTGGGCGTATGTGCATGTGTGCCCAAAATCCCAAGAGGAAAATGGAGGCATGGTCAGCCCCCAGGGAGGGTGATTTCTTGCTTTCTGTCTCTCTGTCTCTCCAGCAAGCGCATGTGCCCTATAGCAAAATTCTCTCTTAAAAAACAAAACAAAACAAAACAAAACAAGACTTGACTCAAAATATAGGTTATATAACAAATCTGTTTGGGAAATCCTAGGGGCACCTACGATAGGTGAAACTGTAATGACAGAAGCCCAAATAACCTGCTATGTGCATTAAGATGTCATAGAAAAAGGAAAAAGTAACTTCAAGCATATCAAAGTCACACAGGGAGATCAGCAGATGGCCTAATGGTTGTGTCATAGAACTCTCAGATAGTCGACTGCAGTGGTAGTCTTGGACCTGGTGGCTTAAAAACCATGCTGGGTGGGACCAGCAGATGGTGTAATAGTTATGTCACTGAACTCCCATGTGCTTGACCATAGTTCGAGTCCCAGACCTGGTAGCTTAAAACTCTCGTCAGGCATATGCGTGCGCATGACCAAAATCCTAAGAAGAGACTAGAGGAAAAGGGAATGTAGCATTGCCATCTCCCTTAGAGGGTGATTTCTCACTTTCTGTCTCTCTGTCTCTCTCTGTCTCTCCAGTGAGCACACGTCCTATAGCAAATATCTCTTAAAAACAAAACAAACATAAAAAACCCACACTGGGCATGTGTGCATGCATGTGTGCTCAAGATCCTGAGAGGAGAATGAAGGAGAAGGGATTGCAGCATGGCCATCCCCCCAGGGGGTGATTTCTTGCTTTCTGTCTCTCTGTCTCTGTCTCTCCAGTGAGCACATGTGCCCTGTAGCAAAAATTTCTCTAAAAAAAGGTCATACAGGCAGATGATTTAAACTATACGGATTTCTTTCTTTTTTAATTATGTGACATAGGGAGGGATGGAAAGATAGAGGTAGAAAGATAATGATAAGTATTTTTAACAGGGTCTTGCCTTGTATCAATCCTTCTGCCCACAATCTCCCAACAACTAGGCTTTCGGGTGTGTACAACCACACCCAACATGCTAAGGTACAACCACACCCAACATGTTAAGGTGGGCCCAGGAACCGAACCTCGGCCTTGTGTGCAGCTTCCAGCATCCCAAGTTGTGGCACTCTCGGCGTGCCACCATGGCTATACCTAAACTACAGTTTCTGATTTTCCATCAAGTTGTTCTTCACATTTACAACCACAAACACGTGCTGTTTAATAACATTTCGGTCAATGATGGACTGCATATATGATGGTGGTTCCATATGATCACACCACGTGGCATAAGTGTGTAGTAGACTATACAATCTAGGTTTGTGCACTACATTCTATGATGTTTGCACAATGACAAAATTGCCTAATGAAGCATTTCTTAGAATGTATGCTACTGCTAAGACCTATACATGACTGTATAGGACTACTGCTCTATGAACGGACTTACATATGGAATGATGTAAAGATTCTCCTAACCACAATCTGATGCCTCCAGCAATGAGATTTGACAAACCCGGAAGACCAACCAGGCTCTGTGTACATGCAAATTGGGGAAGAAACGTGCTGTTGTATACCTTGGGTTTCACCACGATCTCTGAATCATCATTAATGATGGACTCCTCTGGTCGGAAAGTCACACTTGGTTTTCTCTTCAATTTCTCAGATCTTTTTTCTTGTAGCTCTTTCTCAGCTCGCCTTCTTTCCCTGTTCAACACAAAAGTATAACACATATCTTTGCTATTATATTAACATCAGTTTTTCATTTATATTGTATTATGCTATCTAGGGAGACAGTTATCAAAATTTTGTTAGAAAATTATTTTCAATAGTACTTAGTTAAATTGGCAAGATCTTCTGCTAGAGTAGAAATATAAGCCAAAAATAAATCAAAGGAATATGAAATTTATTTCTAGTTCCTCTACTACTAAACTAATACTATTCTGCATTAGTTATTGGAATCTCAGGTCAGGATTATTACACCTTTTGGGCAATTTTCTATTTCTCTTTTCTACAGATTTTAAGCAGGCTCCAAAAATCCTATAGGCTACTGCTACCTCCATGTGCCTATTTGTAGTAAGCTAACTTAGTCAATTCAGCAAAATGCCAACAAGGAAAAAAGAAGTCTAAAAAAGGAGCCAGCAGGTGGTGTGGTGGTTGGGGTGCCTCATCTCCCACACGGCCAATTATATGAATCCTAGACCTAGTGGCTTGCTTTCTCACTTTCTATCTCTCCCATGCATGTGTTCTATAACATGATGGAATGTAAATAAAATAAAATTTTAAAGTGTTTGATTAAAAATCAAATAAATAATAAAAAATTATAAAAAATATTAAATAATTCCTAAATAAAAAAGTTAAGGAGAAGACTAACTTTGAACAGGGAATACTTGGAAAAGATGAAAGCAAGGGACGATTTCTAAAAAGAGCACTGATAATACATTTTACAGTCTGATAAATATGAAATTTTAAACGTATTTCCTGGACGCAGCAATTACATGTCCGGAACACCCACTATGAGTAAAATACTGTAGTGTTCTTCACTTCAAGTGACAGCCTTGTTTTTTCACAGGAACATTACTTAGTGCTCAGAAACAATTTACATTGCCCACTCTCCTGCTTAAAGAATATGGTAAGATGAATAACAATATGTGAGTTGAAAGTATTGGACAGTACATGGAATAATGCATGCTATTAATGTTTCTGCTATAAATGACTGCTTATCCTATTACAAAAGCACGTAAAAGAATCCTCCAGCCTATAAATGGTAGAAGAGAATTCCTAAATCAAATGGTTAAAATTATAGTATTTGTCTCACAATACAGGAATCTTCCTCATTACAAGATTCGTTCAAATGCAAACACTTGGCAAGAAAAATGAATATGCAGTTGGGTATAGGCTACAAAGCTGACCCAGATGACTTCCATCTTTATGACTATGTGATTATAAATAATAATAATAAGCTTGTTGGTACCCAATATCATCACATAAAACTTCATTTAAAACTTGCCTTTTTTTACTGCCTTTTCCTTGACTTACTTCAGATGATTCTATTTTGACCTTTAGAAGCTGCAGACATCCAGAATCACCTTGTTCAAATAAATTATGTGTTAGTTCCTGTTGGCTTTGTTTAAATGCAATGAGATTTTCAAGTGGTATAAGTTGTGGTTTTTTGTACTACAGGAAAGAAACAAAATATAACAATAAAAATTTAACATCCAATTATGCAATGTGTTAATAAGCAAGAAAAATATCTATTTAAATTAAGAGACAGACATACTGAATATAGGAAACTGACTTGAACTGGTAAAATGAATACCTATCAATATATCATAAAGAATAAGTGATTTCAGAGTTCTGAAAGTTTCAAATTGGTCATCCTATTTCAGAAATTAAACAAAAGACCTCATCTTTCTAATCACATTTCCATATTAAAAATCATTGGTCTAAACAAGGCCCTGGAATTTGACAGAAAGTGGATAAATATGGAAGATCTGTTGCTGAGTGAAGCAAGTCAGAGAGACATTGTATGTCTCCACTTAAAATATACAGACTGTCCGCACTCTACAGTAGAGACTGAAAGACTAGAGGATATAAAAGCATTAAAAATTCTTGTGGACACTAGGGACAAAGTGGAAGGAGAGTGTGGGAGGGGAAGAGTGCAGGAAAGGAAATTAGGGGAAAATAGGAGAGATAAGATATTTGTGGGCACAGATATGGTTTGTTCTCTGTTGATGAGGATGTGTATAGTATTGTCAACTGGACTGAGATGTGTATCATGCCGGGTAAAATCTCTTTACAATCTAAATGATGTATAGCGATTGAATGTACAAATAATAATAATAAAAAATATAAAATAAAAAAATCATTGGTAATAAAATTATAAATGATATGATATAATGGAGGTAAGCAGGTAGCATGGTGGTTGAAGCATTGGACTGCCCATGGTTCAAGTCCCAGGCCTGGGGGCTTGCTTTCTTACTTTTTCTCTTTGTTTCTTTCTCTCTCTCTCTCTCTCTCTCTCTCTCTCTCTCTCTGTGTGTGTGTGTGTGTGTGTGTGTGTATGTATGTCTCTTTCTGGTTAAATTTTTTTTAAAATACATAAAATTTAATAAATACTTCTTTTAAAGAAACCCTTTAAAAATGATATAATGTGGGAACCAGCAGTTAGCATAATGGCTATGTCGCTGGACTCCCACGTAGTCGACCGCGGTTCGTATCCCGGACCCGGTGGCTTAAAACTCACGCGGGGCGCATGTGCGTGCGTGCCCAAGATCCCGAGAGGAGAATGGAGAAGGGATTGTGGCATGACCATCCCCCCTGGGGGGTGATTTCTCGCTTTCTATCTCTATGTCTCTCTCTGTCTGTCTGGCGAGCGCACGTGCCCTACAGTGAAAATCTATAAAAAAAAAAATGATATAATGTATGGCATCTAGTTTAAAATTATTTAGAAAAGGGAACGCAAGAAGACTTGGAAGAAACAAATTAGCAGTATTCTTATAATACCTGAGGTAGTGTGATGGGAACTTGAGAGTTCCTTGTATTGATACTATACGTTCTAACTAAAATTTTTAATTATTCTTCTCAAAATGTCTACTTTTTCACTCCTTTACTCCCTTCTTCTTCTGTTCAAATATATTTTTAAAATGAGGCACAGAAATTATTTTTTCTAAGACTAATCATTTCTTTTCCAAGTACCATCTTAAAATCTTCAAAGTGCACTGGAGAGTGAATTACACAATATCACCATAAGATGGTACTACTCACCTGCATAATTAGAACCTAAACAATTTGAATTTCATATACCAAACGTTACATCTTCAGAGAGGATTTGGTGGGTTTATAAAACTATACCTTATTACATTAACAGATCCTGACAGATCTGGGTCTGTTTAACAAGTTTTACAGGTAACAGATTTGAAGACAACCATATCACAATGGCTGGAAAGTTCAAAACATAAGTGTGCTCATTTGCTCTTGTTCTCTATGCAAACAAACAAACAGAGCACATGGTAATTTTACTACGTACTCTACAAGAGTACAAGAAATTCTGTTATGATCAATGAGAAAGAACTAAAACTTTAAAAATATACAATTATTATTTTAACCCTTTTTTTCCCCATAGCAGAAGCATTATTTTAAAAAAGAAGTATGTGAGAGCTTTCCATTGAACATATATTATTAAAATATAAAAATGCAGGACTCTGCTTCAGCATATCACACAAAAATCCATTACCATATTTTCTGGGGGTAGACATGAGTGAAGTAATGGGAGTCTTGGGCATTTTCTTTCTTCTGCTACAGTTCTGACAGGTATTGAGGGAACTGTAACTGGTGCTCTTGAGGCTGATGAAAATACATAAGGAGGTTTAAGTTGCAGGTGTAATAATGGAAGTCCAAAGGCATTCTGAGGCGTTAGCTCAGGGGACCTTGGCTTAATATCAAACAGTTGTTCTGGTTTAATAAATACTGAAGAGTCCTGTTGCGGTGTCAAGTTTTCTTGTCCAACATACTGATCCAAGTTCACATGTTTGGGGATTTCTGTAATTACAGTTTCTGCCCATTTTTTCTGATCAACTGTTGTTTCTATGTCTATAGTATTATACTGGCTTAAATTTGAATGGGATATTGAAGTGTTTTGCACAGCTCTCGGTGGTAGCGGAGGTTGGAAAGAATCAGATGATCCCCAAGCCTCTCTTGGTTGCAGCAAAGGCTTCAAGGGAACTTGTGGAACTCTTACAGCATGCAAGGAAAGGGGCTTAAATTCATGCTTAGGTGGAAATTGAAGCAAAGGAAAACCATCAGGAGGACTGTAAGTTTTTGCAGGTGGGATAAGTCTAGGTGTCGTCTCAAAGGCAGAAGGTGTGGACAAAAGATAGAGATGTGTATTTCCAGCAGGGAGCGAGGACGAAGTGGGTGGTAAGCTTTGAGAAGTTGTGGTTATTCCTCTTTTCTGGGGTTGATCATCCAGTTGACATAAAGGAATACTCCCCTGTGGAACATTCTAGAAGAAAAAAAAGATATTAAGTAAGTATAGAATATACTACAAATTTTTTATTTTGTGAATGATGTTTAGTATGTTTGGAAGGGATGAAATATAAGCTGCTTAAAAAATGTACTCAAACAGAGCAGGGCCAGCAGTTGGCATAATGGCTATGTTGCTGGACTCCCATGTAGTTTACCACGGTTCAAGTCTTGAATCCAGTAGCTTAAACTCATGCTGGGCGCACATGCGTGTGTGCCCATGATCTCGAGAGGAGAATGGAGAAGGGACTGCGGTGTGGCCAACCCCCTTGGGGGGGGAGTGATTTCTCACTTTCTGTCTCTGTGTCTCTTGTTGCCTTTCTGTCGAGCGCACATGCCCTATGGCAAAAACCTCTCCAAAAATAAAAAAAGAAAATTTACTCAAACAACAAAAAGTCAATAATTGAACTACTAAGACATTAATGGTATTTTTATAGATATTACCTGTAAATTTCCATTACTATTTTGATCGGATTGGGTACTTCTTTCACAGCAGTGTGAGCTATTCTTGTCCAGCTCTCTGGTGCACTCTCCCATGGATTGTGGTTTCACGAAAAGTCTCTCCTTAATATTTCTATTGCTGGCACCAACATCACCACTCCCTCTTGTAGGATTTGACACTTGGCTTCCTTCCAAACGAACAGACTCAGACTGTTGTAGAAGTTGATGCATATTTGGAAGATTAGCAAAAGATGACCCTACTATTTGCATTAGGCTCATGAAGTTGATCTGCTGCAACTAGAATAAAACAAAAATTAAAGCGTCATCCTAAAGTAGAATGCAGAGAGTCTGAGGAATCCACAATATTCAAACTGTCATACTTATGTCTCAATATCTGTTACATTCATGAATACTGAGCAAGAGGCACAGCCAGGAGAGATTTAAAAACAGAAAAAACTGTCTGGCTTATTGTTGACTGGAAATAGGAACACTAACTCACAAATGAGGCTTGAGACTATCTGTAAACCAGATTACATAATCTTAAAGTTCATAAGGGAGAGATCTGATGAAATGGAATGAACACAATCGAAGGAGGATTCCTAGAATGGATGTGATTTGAACAAGTCTTCAGGAAACAAAAGAACAGAAAGTTGCATACAAGTGAAGAAAGAAAATCCTTTGGAAGGATTAACTAGGTAAAAGGCAAAACCAAAAAATAGTAGTAGTTCCCAAACTCTGCACATTAGTATCACCTAAACAGCATGAAAAAAGTCCTGATGGCCCAGTCATACTTGATACCAATAACATTACTAAGATGTTATGGATAGAAGTCAAAATCAGTATTTGTTGAGCCAGCAGCTTGCATGCTAGGTGAGGCACTGAACACCCACATGGCCAACCACGGTTCGAGTCTCGGACTGGTGGCTTGCTTTCTCACTTTCCCTTTCTCTCTCTCTCTCTCTGGTGAAATTAAAAAATAATAACAATAAATAAAATTAAATAAATAATTATTTTTTTAAAAATCAGTATTTTTTAAGATGTCCAGGTGATTTCAATGTGCGAAAAAGCTTGAGAATCACCCACATACACATTGGTTTCGTTGGCACCAGAGATTCCTAACAGAAATAATGAGAAGAACGTTCTCAAACTTTAAAATGCATCAGTATGGCCTGAAAGTCTTGTTAAACTACTCTCTGCTAAGCCCTATTCCCAGAGTATCAACTGCCATATGTATGTGTGTGCCTCAGAGCAATAGGGTTAGGTAAAGTCTCATTGTATTGTATCCTCCTGCCTCAGCTTCCAAAGTAGCTGGGACTATAGGCAGGCACACTACACTCAGCCTTTTAGGTGGGAATCAGAGCTGGGCCTACCAGGTGGCTACAGGATGCCACGCAGCAGAGTCCAGCGCACATTGTCCAGAGCACACTACCACAAGTCCATAAGTTTCTGATTCAAAAGGTCTAGGATGGAGGCCTGAGAATTTGTGTTTCTAAGACCTAAATGATGTTAATGTTACTAGTACAGAAATAACATTTTGAAAACCATTAGATTTATAAAGAGTAAGATAAGACAGAAGGACGACAGGTAAAAGCTAGTAATGGGGTCTTTTACAGCCAATATAAGAATGTTCACTTGATAATATAAACCAAAGGGGAAACTGCACATTTAAAAAAGGTGTTTCCCTTCCACTATTAAAGAAATACACTTACTGAGGACCCAACATATAAAAGTAATTTTAATAAAACTGTTAGACCTTTGAAAAGAAGAAATATAAATACTACAGAAAAGTAGGAGAAAGAAAATACTTATCATTCATAATCTTATTACCAGATAACTAGTATTGATGTTTTAATCTATTTCTTTCATCTTTTTATATATTTTAAACATGGTATTACATAGTATATAAATTTACAGAAAATGCGGCCGGCAGGTGGTGTGGTGGTTAAGGTGGTTAAGGTGCTGGACTCTCACATGGCCAACTACAGCTTGAGTCCTGGACCTGGAGGCTTGCTTTCTCACTTTCCTCTACCTCTTTTTCTCTCCCTCTTTCTCTCTTTGGTCAAATTAAAAATTAATAGTGAAAATAAAATTAAATATATTTTTTAATTTACTGAAGATTTTAATAATAGTTTTAACATAATATCTGAAGAACATCCTAGAAAATACATAAATGACAATAGAAGTATGAAATGCTAAGAATATAAGGTTGGCTATAGCTACAGAAATACCAAGTGATTCTTTTTTGTAAAAAAAATATTTATTTTATTTTATTTATTATTATAATTATTATTTTTAATTTGCTATAGGGCACATGAACTCACCAAAGAGAGATAAGAAAGAGGGAAAGTGAGAAAGTAAGCCACCACCCCAGGGCTTGAGCTGTGGTCAGCCATGTGAGAGTCCAGCACTTTAACCACTGTACCACCTGCTGGCCACCTAAGGATTCTTACTGACATGTGGGTAAAAGAATCACAAGAGCATAGTAAACACTGGATATGAGTGATGAAAGAAGACAAAGATAACTTTCTAAGACAATGAATCTCTTGTGTGCATCAGAATTATTTGGAGAGCTAGTTAAATATACAAGACAGTAACCAGGAAAGACTTCAGGTAAAACATACAACACAGTTTAAGAAGTGCTTCTCGGGATCGGTGGGTGTCATGGTGGTTAAGGGTGCTGGATTCCCACATGGCCAACCCTGGTTAGAGTCCGAGACCTGACAGCTTACTTTCTCACTTTTTCTCTCTCTCTCTTTCACTCTCACTCTCTTGCTCTGTCCCTCTTGGACCAAATTTAAACAAACAAAAAAATAAATAAATAAATAAAGGAAGGAAGGAAAGAAGTTAAATAAAATAATTCTTAAAAAAAAAAAAAAAGTGCTGGGAACCAGCAGTTAGCGTAATGGCTATGTCTCTGGACTACCACGTAGTCGCCCGCGGTTTGCGTCCCGGACCCGGTGGCTTAAAACTCATGCCGGGCGCGTGTGCGTGCGTGCCCAAGATCCCGAGAGGAGAATGGAGGAGAAGGGATTGTGGCGTGACCATCCCCCCTAGGGGGTGATTTCTCGCTTTCTGTCTCTATGTCTCTCTCTGTCTGTCTGGCGAGCACATGCGCCCTATAGCGAAAATCTCTCCAAAAAAAAAAAAAAAAAAGTGCTTCTGAAGCATCAAACTGGTAGATCAGGTGGGGTACGACTCTCAAGAAAAAAGGGAAAGACACTGGGAGAATAAAAATATAATCAGGAACCAGCAGATGGCATATCGGTTACGTTGCCTGACTTCCATATAGTCAACTGTGGTTCAAGTCCCAGACTTGGAGGCTTAAAACTCACACCAGGAGTGTGTGCCCAAGATCCTGAGAGAAGAATAAGAAGGGACTGTGGCATGGCCATCCCCGCAGGAGGTGATTTCTAGCTTTTTGTCTCTCTGGTGAGCACACGCACTCTATAATCAAAATCTCTCTTAAAAAATAAAAGAATATTATCCATTTCAGTAAGGTTCATGGGATGTACTGAAAAAAGTATCCTCAGAAGAGCCTATAAATTCAAAGGAAAAATTAGTGCCAAGATGATCAGTATAAAAATGGGATATCACATAAAAAGATATGGACATGATAGAACAAATGAGTGGAGAATTAAGGTTTGAGAGAATTAACGTTTAAAAAAATGAAAAAGAAAAGGGAAGTAGGGATAGTTGGCGAGTAGTGGTAAAATACAATGCTCTGAAACTGGCCCACATGTGCTAACTTCACATCCAGAGATCTTTCTGAGGACCCTGGGCATGTGCATTCCCATCATCTGGGGTTGGCTACTGCAGGGATGTGGGGAAAAAAAAAAAGAGAGAGAGAGAGAAATAATTAAAACTTGTTTGCTAGATAGAAAAAAAGGATAACTAAGTGAAAGAACGTTTAAGAAAATCAGAGTGAACAATCTGATATGCAGCTGAGTTTCAACTAAAGGTAAAACTTGTTCTATGGATAAAACAGCCTCAGTTAGAAAATAAAACTTTGCAGGGTCAGCTGGTGGCAGAGTGGTAATGCAATACTCAGAGATGCTGGATCCATTGGGAAAGGTCAGAGATTTATGTCCCAAGGCCTCCTTGTACATACTGGGCACATATGTAGATGCTGGCTGAGGCTGGGAGTGGATCATGGCATGAAGACCCTGATGAAGGTACCTGTTTCTGTTTTTCTTTCATGGGAGAAATAAACTTTAAAAAGAAAAGGAAGGACAGCCAAGAGGTGTGGTGGTTGGGTGGATTCCACATTGCCAACTATGCAGTTGAATCCTGGACATGCTAGACATGCATATATGTGTGTGTGTGTGTGCTCAAAAGTTCTGAGGGGAGAATGAAGGAGAAGGGATTGTGGTGTGGTCATCCCTCCAGGGGATGCTTTCTCACTTTCTCTCAATCCCTAGTTAGTACTGATATTTTAGATTATGGAAGTATGAAATGCTAAGAATATCAGGTTGGCTATTGCTACAGAAACACCAAGAAGCCCTATAGCAAATTTTTTTAAAAAAGAAAGAAAGAAAAGAAAAAACACTTTGGATACTTTTGAGTAGGAATCTTCTGGTCTGGTTTGACGGCCCTACTTCACATTGTGTATAGTGTTTTACTAAAGTGTTCAGGAAAAATAAGTCATTGTGAGACCCAGCTAGCTCAACCTCAACTTTAGACTCTACAGTTACGAATTTCTGAATGACAAAAGAAGACTCTCCAAAGCAGAGAAATGCCTGCAATTTAATTCAAATTTGTCCATTTCTGGAAGTGTGCTACATGTAACATGTGTAAATTTACTGACATACTCACCTGAACTAATTTAAACATTTCATCTTGGAGCATCAGCCTAACAGAATCAGAAGAATCTGGTAACTGAGCCCCATGTTCATTTCTTTGAGTCTTCCGAGGTGTTGGAACAGGTGCTTGTGAAGCAATACTGACTCCATTTGATACCAGCGGTGGATCTGAAGGTTCATCTTTAAGGGCAGGAATCTGTGCACTACATGGAGATAAAACCACGTATTAACAAAATAACACAAATTAATGTCTATGATTTGAATATTTTGATTCCAGTTTTTTCTTCAAATATAAAGGTTGTTCTGGTAGTTCTAAGGATATTTAACCTATGTATCTAGTACCTATCAGTCACCAGACTGATACCGTCAGCACAATTTTTTCTCTGAATATCTTTATTGATTTTTATTGAGTACTAGAGGGCATGTGCACTCTCCAGAGAGAGAGACAGGGAAACAGAGAGACTGGGAGAGGAGAAAGCACTCCCTATGAGGAATGGTCATGCGCAATCCCTTTTCCCCATCAGGATTTCAGGCATGCATGCACATGAACCCAGCATGTTTTCTCAGGCTGCCAGATCCAGGACTCAAACCACAGTTAGTCATGTAGGAATCAGCTTCCTTAGCCACCAGGCCACAGAGCCAGCTCTGAATGTCTTTATTAAAAGACATGTACCATGGGGCCAGCAGGTGGCATGGTGGTTAAGGGCGCTGGACTCCCACGTGGCCTACTAAACTTGGGGTCCTAGACCTGGCAGCCTACTTTTTTTCTCTCTCTTTCTTTCTCTCTCTCTCTCCCTGTGTCTCTGGCAAACACATGTGCCCTATAACAAACTAAAAAACAATAATAATAAATAAAATGAAATAAATAATCCTTTTAAAGAAGAAAGTACCATTTTGTCAGGGATGGTCCAAGAACAGCTCACAAATTTACTTGCCTGAATCCTATAAGCACCTGAGTTTGAGACTTGTATAACCATTGTAATTAACAATACAGACTTTGTAATTTAGTTTAGGAATAAGTTTGGCTATTTTTTTTTAAACTAAAATCAATTATCCAGAACAGAGTTGAGAAAATTGAGGGGAAAGTGGGTTAAAAATGTTTGATTTTAGGACTGACGGAGCAAACTACTGTTGAAACAACCACAGTCTGAACATTTCATTTCTAAACAAACTAACATCACTTACTTAGATATATTTAAAGATCAAAGCAAGTCTTTCTTTAATAAAATAACTACTAGGTAATGGTTCCTTGAATACAGCAATCAATCCACATTTTCTTTTTACAAGGTTTTTGCCTTAGGGCATGATATCAGTCTGATCGTGAGAGGGAAAGTGAGAAATCACCCCCCAATGGCCACACTACAATCCCTTTTCCATTCTCCTCCCAGGATTTGGACATATACGTACACGCGCCTGGCATGATTTTCAAGCCACCAGCCCGGGATCTGAACTATGGCCATGTGGGAGTCGGCGACATAACCATTATGCCATCTGCTGGCCCCCAATCCACCTCTTTTAAGAGATCTTTATTGGGCATTGCTTTTAACAAGTAGCAAAATAAAATGAATTATAATTAGGTAAAATTATTCTAAAGTAAAGCTATATTATATTTTGTTAAATTTCAGCAAGGTTTCCAAAAACTAAGCACTTTGTTCAACCTCTGCAAAAGATTTTCAGAAAACAGAATTGGATGCTTCCTTTTTATGAGAGAATCAAAGCAATTCAAGTGTTATTAGAAATCAGAAGCTGAAAACGAACAACTACATCATTCAATAATATATCCAGTGTTTGTTTGTTTTTTAGAACAGCCTGTACTACCATAGTTCCTGTATATCTTCAAAACACAACTGTTGTGGTTGGTAGGTGGCTTGGTGGTTAAGTCACTAAACTCTCACGTGGCTGACCATGGTCTGAGTCCAAGACCTGGCAACTTGCTTTCTCACTTTCTCTCCCTCTCTCTCTGGTCAAATTTAAAAATAGTAATGTTGATAAATAAAAGTAAATTATTGTATTTAATTTTTAAATAATTAAATTTAATAATTCCTTAAAAATAAATAAAAATAAGAACACAACTGTTAGCAGAAATCTTTCAATAATTAACTTAATAATACCAGGAATGTGTGCCTATGCTGCTCTTTAATCTCCATATTGCTTTTAATTATTCTCTTAATTTTTAGTAAACATATTTAACAATTATTGCAAAAAGGTACAGTAGATATCATGTTCTCATTTATATGTAAGACATATATATATTTCATAATGGTACAGTAGGCAAAAATCCTTACCTAGAAACTTCTGAACTTGTATCTACACAAAACGAATGAGTAATGGTATGCTCAGGACTTGAAAAAGCTTTGATCATACTATAAATAAAAATTGGTAAATGATTAGGAAACAAGATATTCTCCACATCATCTAAGGTAGAGATGATCTAATGTTCAACCATCTACAAGTCTAAACATCATCTAATCTTTTGTAATGTTTATTAGCTCATAATTATGATCTGTTTACCTTGGTTTCCATAGCAATCAGTAACATTCAAAAAATTAAAGAATATGTCTGGATGACTTCACACACAAGTTAAACACTGCTGACTACTAGGCAATAAAAACAGAATATAAAATGAGGGGAGATGAAGTCAGCTGGGACCCAAATTTCACATATGGAAGAGGTTCAAAACACTAAAGAGCCCACTGTTACATCTGGAACTGTAAAGACTACTTTTTACAAATAGAAATATATATACATGTAGATGCACCTAACATTAACTATATCCTTTTCATTAATGATCCACAAAAAATAAACAAAATTTGTATAGTGAGAATTGAAAAAAATCTAATTATGTTACCTTTTATATCCAAGGTATTCTAAAATTCTAAAACGTCTAATTATTATTGTTATTTTTATTTTAGGTTTTTGCCATAGGGTGCATGCATTCACCAGAGATAAAGTGAGAAGGAAAGTGAGAACCCTCCCAGGGCAGAATAGCCATGATGCAATCCCTTCTCCTCCATTCTCTTCCTGGGATTTTGGGCACATATGCACAGATGTACCTGGAGTGACTGTCTTTTTATTTAGAGAGATTTTTGCTATAAAGTGTGTGTGCTCACCAGACAGACACAGAGACAGAAAGCAAGAAATCATCCCCCAGGGGAGATGGCCATGCCACAATCCCTTCTCCTCTATTCTCCTCTCAGGATTTTCGGGATGTACACACACACTCCCAAGTGTGAGTTTAAGCTGCCAAGTCCAGGACTTGAACTGTGATTGACTATGTGGGAATTCAGCAACATAACCATTACACAATCTGCTGGTCCCATGCCCAGAATGATTTTCAAGTCACCAGGTGTAGGAATCAAACTGCAGTCAGCTCTGTGGGAGTCCAGCACCTTAACCAACACGCTACCTGCCAGCCCTAAAATTTTAAAAATAAAAATATCACATCCAAACTGCAACACATGAATAAACTGCCTTTAGCTCCCCTTGAAACAATAATATACTAGCTAGTAGAGCATGTGTTTATCATAGCCCTAAGCGATAGTGCACAGGAATCATACCACAATGGTGATATACATATTATGAATCATAATGGTTCTTATTTAATTCAATTAAAATTAAGTCAGTATGGAAAGAGTTCTGTAATCAGCAACGAAATGAACTTTGGTCTACTTATAACTATGTTTTATTTTTGATAGGTTGACAGAGACAGTACAACAAAAGGTATTTTAGATATAGTTATTTATTTCACCTACTATGAGTTAGAAGACTTACTAAAAATTGTTTTTCACAGGGCAGGCAGATGGCGTGGTGGTTGAGGCACTGAACTCCCAGATGGAAGACTGCAGTTTGAGTCCCAGATCTGGTGGCTTGCTTTTTCACTTTCCCTCCCTCTCTGTCTCTCTCTAGTGAACACATGTGCCCTACAGCAAATTTAAAAACAATAATAATAATGAAAAATAAAATTAACTGAATGATTCTTTTAAAAAATTGTTTCTCACTATACCAATAAGTTGAAGTTACAATTTCAATAGAACTGACAAGCCAGTTATAATTACTTCTACACTTTTTTTGCCTTACCTTTTTCCTTCAGTTGATTTTTCCTCAATACTTTTTTCCGGTAGTTCTTCCATTGGACACTGAACTTCTTCTGTGGAAAGCTGTTAAAATTGATAGTAACCAAAAAGAAAAGCAGTAAAACTAGTAGGTTTTACTCTCTTGAGTATTCTGAGCTTCACATTTTGCCCAAAGAAAGAACAGTCTAAAAGCAAGTGAGAAATCCAACACAAAACATGCATTCCCAATCCTCTCTGATGAGACCTTTATACTGCGTAAACTGCCTTTGGCTTATCACCATGAGGTACTGGGCATTTTTAAGGAAGAAACAAAGACAAAGTGATGTTGTCTGTAAATTACATATACCCAAGGGCCAGCAGGTAGTGTGGTGGTTATAGTGCTGCACTCCCACATGGCTGACCACAGTTCAAGTCCTGGACCTAGCAGCTTTAAAATCACACTGAGTACATGTGTGCATGTCACAAATCCCAGGAGGACAATGGAGAAGGGACTGTGGTGTTGTCATCCCTCCTAGGGGGTGATTTCTCTTTCCCCTCACTGTTTTTCCTCAACAAGTACACATGCCCTATGGCAAAAATGTAAAAAAAAAAAAAACAATTACATAAAAAATTATATATACCCATCACTACATGATTATTAATTAATTACCTTGTGAAAACTATAAAATCAGAAAAAATAATACTTTTTAAGAGAATTGTCACAGAATTTGGAAATGTCTATTTTGTACCAGGAAATTCAGTGTATAGACATGTGAGAAAAACAAATAATACAAAATAGTGCACGTAGGTACAAAAACTGCATACTCTAGCTGAATTATACACTTAAAAGAACGGATGCCTTCATGTCTCTTGATTAAGTTAATTTACTAAAAAAATCTATAAAATGACAATCTTACTACCTGATATTAGACATGTTAATAAAAATAGAATTTCAGTGAAGAAAAGATACTGCATGATATAAACATATGCTACAATTCATAGTACACTTTTAAAAAATAATTATTTATTTTTATTTATTATTATTATTTATTTAATTTGACCAGAGAGAGTTAGAAAGTGAGAAAGCAAGCCACCAGGTTCAGGACTCAAACTGTGGTCAGTTATGTGGGAGTCCAGCTCCTTAAGCACCATGTCATGTGCTGGCCCCCATAGTGTATTTTTAAAATGTAATGACCTTGCTTTGACATATTTAATAATAATAAATAAAAACATTAGGTTAGGACCAGCAGATGATCTAATGGTTATGTCACTGGACTCCCATGTGGCCAGCCATGGTTTGAGTCCTAGACCTAGAGGTTTGAAGCTCATGCCGGTCAAGTGTGCATGCATGCCCAAAATCCCAAGAGGAGAATGGAGGAGAAAGGACTGTAGTATGGCCATCCTTGTGGGGGAATGATTTCCTGCTTTATGTCTCTCTGTCTCTCCAGCAAGCACACGCACGGTATAGGAAAAATATCTCTAAAATAAACAAAATCACGTGGGCATAACATGTATGTTATGTGCTTTATTGAGCCAATATACAGTGTACTCTGGATGGAAAATCTCATTTTGTATGCTGTAATGATGTACAGTGAATGAATGTAAATAAATAAATTTAAATAAAAAAAATAATTTATAGATTTAAATAAAATAAAAAATAATTTAAATAGTAGACAAAATAAAAGTTGAATAATTGTATGCAGTATTTACTAGACTTACTTCTGCCTGCTGTGGTAAAGTCAGCATGCAAAAGGCAATACTGGAATTTTTGTGACTTCCAACAGACTCTTTGGCATCTTCTAAAGGGAAACAAAAGAGAAAGAGAAAACTGATCATTTGAGAGGTAACCTACTGAGTTTTTAGAAAGTTCAGGGAATATTACAGGAAATAAGTATAATGACAGAAACATTTTTATACTCCTTTTATATTAGAGACTATCTCCTCTTCGTCAAGTAAATCCCCCAATCCCACACAAGCCTTGAAAGGCCTTGTTTCAGTGTATAACTCCATATAACGCTTTCCTTACTCAAGTTTTAAGAAAGACTGGCTAGAGGAGGGGTTCACAGAGTTGGTTCACAAAAACTATGAGATCATAATTACTATTATTATTATTGTTATTATTATGTAGGGACAGGGTTTTACTATGTTACCCAGACTGGGCTTGAACTCTCAGTCACCTACCTCAGCCTCCCAAGTAGAACTACAGGCATGTGCCACTGCATCCAGCTAAGAGAGTCATAATAATTACATAATTACATAAGCAGAACAAGAGGCTCAATAATGATAAAACAACTAGAAACATAAAAAGTCTTAAATCTTCCTTGATTTTATTAAAAACCATGGGCTTGAGGTAATACATTCAATATTTCATAAACATCTTTTAATTTGTGGTTTTAGTATATTGTAAACACACTAACAAATGTAATATTAAGTTATATCAGATAATATTGGGTCATCGGGAAAAGTTGATGTATTTTTGCATAGAAAAACAGAAAAATATGACATGACTTTCCCAATGACCTAATACAATTTACCAATTTCTAATTAATAAAGCCAACGAAAAAGTTAGTTGAAATGAACTGACCTTCATTGTCTGACAAATGCATATCCATTTCCTCCTGTGTAAATGTTTCTACTTCTAAAAGATCCTCTTTGATATGTATGAATTCTTTTTCAGTATTATTAGTGACAGAAATAATCTCATCTTTGATTTCTTTTATTTCAGGAATTTTTGCTTCAGTTGGCGTTTTACTGATAAAAATACAACAACTAAAATTAGAACTCCTTTTTGGAGTCTAAATTTTGCTTTATGTAAATCAGTTTTCTGAAAACAAAGAACTTTTTTTTTTTCCATTTCTGGTACCTAGTAGAAGCTCAGTAAAAAGTTATTCAACAAATGACTCAATATCATATTTTTTATTTACTAAAAAGGTTGCAATAATGGTATCTAAAATTACCATTCTTACAAAGGAATCTTTGGAATAAAAACTTTTGTCTTGGTATTTAAAGATATATTATTCCTAGTATTGCTCCATATATAATGGATGAATAGATTTTCAACTTACACTGATCGGGAAATAAATTAATAATAAAGAGATCTTAGGATGAAGTAGCTTCTACGTCAGAAGACAGAAGGTAGAACAACGGGGACAAAATACATTTGCAATGAATTGTTAAAGCAATTTAAAAGCTCACTTCCAATTTCAGCAGGCGATGTGGTGGTTAAGGGCACTGGACTCCCACATGGCCCACTGAGGTTCGAGGCCAGCCCTGGCAGCTTGCTTTCTCACACTCTCTACCTCACTCTGTCCTTTTCTGGTCAAATTTAAATGAGTAAATAAATAAAGTTAAATAAAATAATTCTTAAAAAACAAAAAAACAAAAAACAAAAACAAGAAATGCTCAACCTTTTAATTTTCAAGGGTTCAAGCCTTCCTTTGAGCCCAAACACCATCAAACCAAATCTTTTCTATTGAAAAGGAGTATAATTAGCAACTTACGTCAAGATACTTTGACAAGACTCATTCTGATCATTTCTTTGCTCACTTCCGCCATCAACTATTAGTGAAACTGAAGAGCCAGCTTCTGTTTTGCTCTCCCTCTCAATATTAGGTATGCTCTGAGGCCCAGTGTAATGACTCTCTAGGCCCTAAAACAAACCATGTATTGTAATTAGTATTTATTATTCAACCTCTTATGTTTCATCATATTTCTAGATTACTCATACTTTCTACAGAAATTCTCCTAATTAATTACCTAACTCATTTATCAAGTATTTGTGCTGCATTTCTATAATTCAGCATCTGTTACTGAAACAACAAAGTCTTTATTCCACCCAGAAGAAGTAACCTGACTACCTACACAGTATTCAAGATAAATCAGCCTTACAAATTTGTAGGGTATATTGTTAAGGTTTGAGTATGTCCCCCAAAAGTTCACGTGTTGAAATTTGAGTACTGTGAAGGTATTAAGAAGTAATTTAATCTATAGGATTAAGAGGTGGAGACTTTTGGAAGTTATTACGCATCAGGTGAGGCCCCCATGAATGAATCCTAGTACGTTTATGAGGAGAAGGAATGAGACAGAGATACATAGATACAGACACACTTGCTTTGCTCCTCCTGTTCAAGGAGTGGTTTGAGTTCTGGACCTGGCGGCTTGAAACTTACACCAGGTGCGTATGCATACATGCCCAAAATCCAGAGAGGAGAATAGAGAAGAAAGAATTGTGGTGTGACCATCCCCACTAGGGGATGATTTTTTTTTTTTGCTTTTTATGTCTCTGGTTAGTAACATGCACCATATAGCAAAATATTTCTCATAAAAAAAAAAACCCACAAATTTCCATGTAATGCCTTCACATATATGGTCCATGGACCTTCAAATCATGACTGAAGAAATCTCTTTTCTCTGTAAATTATCCATTCTTGAGTATTTCTGTTATTAGCAAGACGAAAGGCCAGAACATACATTGCATTGTCATTGTTTTCCCACCATAAGATATTGTCAATAGGGCCAGATGATGGTGGTGGTGGTGAAGACAGTTGGATCTTGCATGGCCAACTGTGTGGTTCAAGTCCCAGACCTGGCGGCTTGAAAAACATGCTGGATATGTGTGTATGCATGCCCCAAAGTCCAAGAGAACAGAAGGGACTGCAATGTGACCATCCTCCCTAGGAAGTGCTTTCTCATTTTCTCTGTCTCTCTCCAGCAAGTGCACTATAGCAAATTTAAAAATCAAACTAAAAAAAAGACAATAAAAATGTAACATTCTTGGACCAGTGAGTTAAGTGGTCGATAAAGTGTTGGATCCCACATGGCTGAGAAAGTAGTTAAAGTCCCAGACCCAATGGCTTAAAACACATGCCGGGCACATGCCCAAAAGATCAAAAGGAGAATGAAGGAGAAGGGACTATGGCATAGTCAACCCCTGGGGTAGGAGAGTACTTTCCCACTTTCCCTATCTTTCTCTGTCTCTGGCAAATATATGCGTTCTATGGAAAAAAATCTAAAGAAAGATAACATTCTCATTTCATTTTCTCTATTATGAAGACATTTAGTAGGTCTTTCAAAATGACCTAATGCACAATAATACATGCAGACAAAAATATGAGACATTTATCCCCTTTGTCTGACTTAGAAATCTATGCATGCGTTATCTAGAAATACTTACAAATTTCAAAGATGGGTACCATCATATGCTGGTTTCCCACATGGTCAACTAGATTTGAGTCCTGGACCCGTTGGCTTGAAATTTACACCAGGCGCATGTGTGTGCATGCCCAAAATCCAGAGGGGAGAAAGGAGCGGAAAGGAATGTAGCATGGCCATCCCTGTTGGGGGGTTATATCTTCCTTTCTGTCTCTCTGGAGAGCACATGCACCCTACATTATAGTATATCACAGTATCATAAACTGCATACCTTAGGATAACAGAAACTGATCTCAATAAAAAGAAAAAACTCAGGACCTAGCAGATGGTATAGCAGTTATATCACTGGACACCCACATGGCCAACCACAGTTTGAGTCCCAGACCTGGTGGATTAAAACGCACACTGGGTACATGTGCATGTGTGCCCAAGATCCTGGGAGGAAAATGGAGGAGAAGGGATTGCAGTGTGGTGTTTCCCCCCAGGGGATCATTTCTCACTTTTCTTCTCACTGTTTCTGTCTCTCTCTTTCTCTGGTGAGCACACATTCACTAAGGCAAAAACCTCTACAAAAAAGAAAAAGAAAAAAATTCACAAACAAAAAAACCACAAAAATTCTCTCTCTCATTCATACACACACAAGCACACACACACATGTGCATGAGCCTTTCAACCTAGAATAACCTTTTCAGAATGAAGGCACTTATCACAGACTGGAAAAAAGGAACAGCTCATAGACACTAACTCCTCTATCGATACCTATCTCCCTTTTAGGTTTAGTTTTCCACCTTTTTGGCTTTAGAGTATAAATAAATGATGCCATAATGTATTTGTTGAGACACCAGTAATATTATAAAGTTATTGTTTTTTTATCGCCGGAAGGCACATGCACTTGCCAGAAAAAGAGAGAAAATGCATCCCCCAATGGGCTGTGATCATGCAGCAATCCTTTTTCCTCCTTCCTATTTTGGACATGCATGTACACACACCTAGCATGTGTTTCAAGCCACCATGGCTGGGACTTGAATCATGGTGGGCCATGTGGGATTAGCTCCCTACACACAGGACTTAATTGCTTGCTGTACCCAAGCTGGCCCAAGGCACCAATAATACAAACTGGATGACTACCTAGTATTTCGCCTATACTGAATCATTTGAAATTATCTCCTTCTGTTTTTCTTTTTTTATAAACAAACATAAAACCACAAAACTTCACAGTTACTCTTGAAAGTAGTTTTATCCTCATTATTTTTAAGAACTAAAGGAACCACTTGAAATAAAAAAAAAATAATAAAATTAGGTGACAAAGACATACTCATTATTGGCATTCATTTTCCATTACTTAAAAAACTCATAAATAAGGACCAGCAGATGGTCTAATGGTTATGTAGCTGGACTTCCACATGGCCGACCGTGGCTCAAGTCCCGGGCCTGGTGGCTTGAAATTCACAATGGGTGCAAGTGGGTGCTTGCCCAAAATCCTGAGAGGAGAATGGAAAGAAGTGATTGCGGCGTGGCCATCCCTTGTCGGGGGAGTGATTTCTCGCTTTTTATCTGTCTCTCTGGCGAGTACACATGCCCTACAGTGAAAAATTTCTCTTAAAAAAAAAAAAAGATTCACGAACAAATGGGGAGCATACAGTTTTAATATGTGATAAACGATCTATGTACTTACCTTAATAATAGTATTTTTTGCCTTATATGTAGCAAAATAGGGTTGTTCCAGAAGCCATAATGATGTAAGAATAGCAGCTGCAGAGGTCTTTACACGAATCACAGGACTGTATTTACAGGATGCCTCAGGAATAGTGGAATCACAGAATAGTCTTCTATCAGACCATCTTATCATCCATTCCAGCAGTCTTCCTATACTGTCAAAGGTGTTATTTAATGCTAGAGGAAGTTCTTCTTGAGAGTTAGTATCACTGCACTGAATTGCTTTGAAAATACACCTAGTTTTAATGGACTTCGGAGTCCAAAAAATGTGGTTTGACGATTTCTGGATTAAAGGTTTCTCTAGACTGTCTTCCTTCATTCTGTAAATTGACTTTTGTTTTAAGCCAAACAATCCACTCTTTCTTTTGTTGGAAGCCAAACAATCCCCTCTTTCCTTCATGTTTACTGACTTCATGCAACGGGTTATCTACAATGTGTCTGATCCCTTGATCAACCAATACTGAAGCTGAAACTGCATGGTTTTCTAAATTTATGACACATTCATCATTTAAAATGGATGATTTTTCAGATTCATATGACTCAGGATCAACAACAAAGCATGAGCCAGCTCTAAATACGTTCTGGCTTTTAGTTTTGCTCTGACGTCGTTTTAACGTTGTATGAACATCAAAAAGTAAAGAATTAAGTTCATGTTCTCTAAGCTGTCCAGAAAAACTGGTTAGGAATGGAATGCCAGGATCCCCGGAACTAAGTAGGTCTCTTTCAAGAACATAACTCAAGAAGAGATCAAGGAATTTAATATATTCATCATCATCACGTTCAAATTCCCATGTGCCTATTACAGGAAGTGCATTTTGTGATATCTTTTCATGATCTTTCCTTTTAGGTTTTCCTTTCTGATTACGTATTTTCTTTTTATCACTGCGTTTCCCAAGTGTTGTTGATTCCACATGATTTGGGGCATTTCTACAGGGAAAAAAAGATGAAAGAAAGAAAAAGACAACATTTTTAAAAATCTGATCTTAGAATTGACATTAAAGATCTGTCTTCTGGGGCCAGCAGGTGGCATGGTGGTTAAGGCACTGGACTCCTTCATAGCCGACCATGGTTCAAGTCTTGGACATCGGAGCTTGTTTTGTCACTTTCTCTCTCTTTCTCCCTCTCCCTTTCTCTCTCTCTCATTGGTGTACACACATGCCCTATAGCAAATTTTAAAAATAATAATGATGATAAGTAAAATAAACAAATATTTCTTTTTAAAAATCTGTCTACTAAGTCATATATCTTTTTTGTGCTTCAATTACCTATCTTTCATATGGGTTAGACTAAATGATCTCTGTTTTCAAGGACAGACCATTCTGGCCCAGCCTAGTGATAAACTGAACTGCAATGCTGGACGTCACATGACTGACTGACAGGTTCAGATCCCTAGGCTGGCTTGAAAACCGGCAAAGCGTGTGCAATCCTGAGCAGCTGGAGGGCCAGGGAAAGGGGATCACAGCATGATGAAATCCTGCCCGGGGTTCTTTTCTCTCATGCACATGCACATGTTTTCTATCATGAATAAAAGAGCAGAACATTCGGCAAGGTTGAAAAATACAACACATTAATAGCAAAAGGGAATGCTGGACTCCCATGCGCTGTCCATGGTTCGAGCACCGGACCTGGTGGCTTGCTTTCTCACATTCCCTTTCTCTCTCTCTCTCTCTCTGTTCCTCTCTGGTCAAATTAAAATAAATAACTGAAGTTAAATAAAATAATTCTTTAAAAAAATGTTTACAGAAATTTTACTATAAAAAGCATGAACGCTTTTGAAGATCATAATAACCAATGTTTTAATAGATCAGAATTTAGAAACACAGAGTCAATAAAAATCACTACAAGCCTCCGATATATTTTTTTTTTCCATAGGGTGTGTGCACTCACCACAGTGAGTGAGACAGTGAGAGGGAAAATGAGAAATCACCCCCAAGGTAGATGGCCATATGGCAATCCCTTCTCCTCCACTGTCCTTCTGGGATCTGGGGCACACACACACACACACACACACACACACACACACGTGATTTTCAAGTCGCCTCATCGGAGACTGAAACCACAGTTGGCCATGTGGGAATCTAGCACCTTAACCACCATGACACCTGCTGGCCCCAACCACCAATTTGTATCTTAATTTAGGGTATCTTGTTTCTTTCTTGCATCTGCCCTTTCATCTCCCCTTATACGTGTGCAACAAGCACAAGTGTCATTTTCTGTTTGCCACATAAAAGTTTGAAACTTTTTCTAAACACTTTTGACTGCTATGAAGCAAGCCTGTTTGGGCAGGCACCTTAGCTGCCAACCGCAATTACTTTTAAATGTTTCTTTTCAATGTCCTTATGGTACAACCCAGATCTTAGTTCCTTCAGGAAGACAAGAGGTGTTAGGTACTTGGCTGAAGTCATTGCATCTCTTCTGGAGAATGCACAACATTCCAGCCTTCACGGTATCCTGCTAATATTTAAGCACAGATGTTGTGTGAAATAAGCACACCACTTAAGATGCTTACTGAATATGGTTTAAGCAGATGTTTGGAGTAGATGCGATCATTTCACATAAGCAAGATTACTGCTGAATACATAGTGTTTAAGTCATGACAAAGATGACTTCAGTGAATCATATATGCAGCGTAAGTATAGTTTATATTACACTGTAGTTACTGGAATTATAGAGAGAAATAAGCTTAAAGCACAGTAACAGAGGCTTAAATAATAAGCAAGAATTTCTCAACAATTTATGGGCAAGTTTCAAAGATGAGTGTGCAATTTGTTTTCCTGGAAACCCTTAAAAATAATATGGCTGAGCCAGCCATTGGCATGATGGTTAAGACAGCTGGATCCCACATGGCCAACTGCACCATTAGAGTCCCAACTCAGTGGCTTCAAAAACACACTAGGCGCAAGTGTGTGTACATGCCAAAAATCCCAAGAGGAGAATAGAGGAGAAGGAATTGTGGCATGGCCATTCCCCTTGAGGGGTATTTTCTCACTCTCTCTCTCTTTCATCTCTCTCCAGTAAGCATATACACACTACAGCAACAGTTAAAATAATGTCAATCCAATAATAGAGATCAAGGAATTTAATATATTCATCATCATCACGTTCAAATTCCCATGTGCCTATTACAGGAAGTGCATTTTGTGATATCTTTTCATGATCTTTCCTTTTAGGTTTTCCTTTCTGATTACGTATTTTCTTTTTATCACTGCGTTTCCCAAGTGTTGTTGATTCCACATGATTTGGGGCATTTCTACAGGGAAAAAAAGATGAAAGAAAGAAAAAGACAACATTTTTAAAAATCTGATCTTAGAATTGACATTAAAGATCTGTCTTCTGGGGCCAGCAGGTGGCATGGTGGTTAAGGCACTGGACTCCTTCATAGCCGACCATGGTTCAAGTCTTGGACATCGGAGCTTGTTTTGTCACTTTCTCTCTCTTTCTCCCTCTCCCTTTCTCTCTCTCTCATTGGTGTACACACATGCCCTATAGCAAATTTTAAAAATAATAATGATGATAAGTAAAATAAACAAATATTTCTTTTTAAAAATCTGTCTACTAAGTCATATATCTTTTTTGTGCTTCAATTACCTATCTTTCATATGGGTTAGACTAAATGATCTCTGTTTTCAAGGACAGACCATTCTGGCCCAGCCTAGTGATAAACTGAACTGCAATGCTGGACGTCACATGACTGACTGACAGGTTCAGATCCCTAGGCTGGCTTGAAAACCGGCAAAGCGTGTGCAATCCTGAGCAGCTGGAGGGCCAGGGAAAGGGGATCACAGCATGATGAAATCCTGCCCGGGGTTCTTTTCTCTCATGCACATGCACATGTTTTCTATCATGAATAAAAGAGCAGAACATTCGGCAAGGTTGAAAAATACAACACATTAATAGCAAAAGGGAATGCTGGACTCCCATGCGCTGTCCATGGTTCGAGCACCGGACCTGGTGGCTTGCTTTCTCACATTCCCTTTCTCTCTCTCTCTCTCTCTGTTCCTCTCTGGTCAAATTAAAATAAATAACTGAAGTTAAATAAAATAATTCTTTAAAAAAATGTTTACAGAAATTTTACTATAAAAAGCATGAACGCTTTTGAAGATCATAATAACCAATGTTTTAATAGATCAGAATTTAGAAACACAGAGTCAATAAAAATCACTACAAGCCTCCGATATATTTTTTTTTTCCATAGGGTGTGTGCACTCACCACAGTGAGTGAGACAGTGAGAGGGAAAATGAGAAATCACCCCCAAGGTAGATGGCCATATGGCAATCCCTTCTCCTCCACTGTCCTTCTGGGATCTGGGGCACACACACACACACACACACACACACACACACACGTGATTTTCAAGTCGCCTCATCGGAGACTGAAACCACAGTTGGCCATGTGGGAATCTAGCACCTTAACCACCATGACACCTGCTGGCCCCAACCACCAATTTGTATCTTAATTTAGGGTATCTTGTTTCTTTCTTGCATCTGCCCTTTCATCTCCCCTTATACGTGTGCAACAAGCACAAGTGTCATTTTCTGTTTGCCACATAAAAGTTTGAAACTTTTTCTAAACACTTTTGACTGCTATGAAGCAAGCCTGTTTGGGCAGGCACCTTAGCTGCCAACCGCAATTACTTTTAAATGTTTCTTTTCAATGTCCTTATGGTACAACCCAGATCTTAGTTCCTTCAGGAAGACAAGAGGTGTTAGGTACTTGGCTGAAGTCATTGCATCTCTTCTGGAGAATGCACAACATTCCAGCCTTCACGGTATCCTGCTAATATTTAAGCACAGATGTTGTGTGAAATAAGCACACCACTTAAGATGCTTACTGAATATGGTTTAAGCAGATGTTTGGAGTAGATGCGATCATTTCACATAAGCAAGATTACTGCTGAATACATAGTGTTTAAGTCATGACAAAGATGACTTCAGTGAATCATATATGCAGCGTAAGTATAGTTTATATTACACTGTAGTTACTGGAATTATAGAGAGAAATAAGCTTAAAGCACAGTAACAGAGGCTTAAATAATAAGCAAGAATTTCTCAACAATTTATGGGCAAGTTTCAAAGATGAGTGTGCAATTTGTTTTCCTGGAAACCCTTAAAAATAATATGGCTGAGCCAGCCATTGGCATGATGGTTAAGACAGCTGGATCCCACATGGCCAACTGCACCATTAGAGTCCCAACTCAGTGGCTTCAAAAACACACTAGGCGCAAGTGTGTGTACATGCCAAAAATCCCAAGAGGAGAATAGAGGAGAAGGAATTGTGGCATGGCCATTCCCCTTGAGGGGTATTTTCTCACTCTCTCTCTCTTTCATCTCTCTCCAGTAAGCATATACACACTACAGCAACAGTTAAAATAATGTCAATCCAATAATTCCAAACTATTTAAATCTCAAGATTGAGGTTAGTACTTAATCTCAGAAAGGACAGTACTTAATTTTTTTTTTAATGAAAAAGTAAAAGAGAGGGGCTGGCAGGTAGCATGGTGGTTAAGGGCACTAGACTCCTCCATGGCTGACCATGGTTCAAGTCCCGGACCTGGTGGCTTGCTTTTTCACTTTCTTTCTCTCTCTCTCACTCTGTCCCTATCTGGTCAAATTAAAATAAATAAATAAACAAATAAATTTAAATAAAATAATCCTTTTAAAAAAATAAAAGAGAAAGAGAGAGAGAACAAATGTGAGAGGGAGAGTAGGAAAGAAGATAGGTATTTTTTGGCAGAGACTTGTCATACTGGGCCAGGAACCAAACCTGAGTTTCCCATGTAGCCTCAGCCACCAGGCAGTGGCACTGTCAGGCTCGTGACACTACAGCTGGGCATTCGTATTGTGATAGCACAGAAAGTGAGAACTGCTGTGACTAGAAATCAGCTTATTGGTTGTATGAAAATATTGAAAAACTAGTTTCCAAAAGACATGGAAGTTTATTAAGAGATTTCAGAGGATAGCAAGTGGCATGGTAGAAAAAGTACGGGGTTCCCACATGACCAACCGTAGTTTTTGAGTCCCAGACCTGGAGGCTTGAAAATCACCACAAATGATTGATTGATAGACAGATAAATGTTAAAAGAGAGAGATTTCAGTTGTACCTTTTATAGACTTGTATGTTACTTTTTTCTTCCACTGGCAAAGCTTCAGAGATTGTATCTGCTGTATCTGCATCACTATGAACCAGAGAATTCCCCACTTCTGTGAGTGTACTTCTGCTCACACTAGTTCCCAGGGAAAATCTGTCAAAACCTGGAGGAGCCTCATCTGCCTTTTCTTCTTCAATTGGTTCCCATACATTCATCTCAAAGGAACCTATGTTTCTCTGCACACGTTTTAGGGCTTTCACCCTCACTTTATGGATAGAATGCATGACTACAGACATCATTTCCTCAGTCTGGGGTCCTAGGAAGAAGAGAACAAAAAGCTTTATGGTTCATTAAAACGTTTCAACTCGAGACGTAGGGGACTCAGTTCTGGGCCTTCCTGGTGACAGGAAACCTAACTGACAACTAAGGCTAATTTCCACATTCTTACATTTTTTTTCTTCAGTATTCACTGGTATTTTCCTTCAGTTTTCACAGGAAAGCTATGGTCTACATTCAATGGTCAAACTGCAGAAGTTAAAGATCCATTAAGAACAAGATAAAAACCCAAACCCTATTTAAAAAAGAAGTATGTCCTGGAAAAAATATATAAGTAATTTAACTATCTCGGCCCAGCAGTGGTGTAGTGGTTAAGGTGCCAGATTTCATATGGCCAACTCCACAGTTCGAGTCTTGGACCTGGTAGCTTGAAAGACACAACAGGCACAGGTGCATGCGTGCTCAAAATCCCAAGAGAAGAATGGACAAGAAGGGACTATGACATGGTCATCCCCTCTTTGGGGGGTGATTTCTCACTTTACCTCTCTCCCTATCTCTCCATGTCTCTCTCTGGGGAGCATATAGACCCTACAGTGAACTACCAAAAAAAAATTTCCACATCATCATCTTGAGTGATAAAATAAAATCAGATGCAAAAAAACCCCAAAAAACATAAAAGGAGAATACCAGTTTTCAATAAATACCTACAATGTGCAAAGCATAATAAGCTCATTTTATATACTGTATCATTTCTGTTTTGATTTGGTTTTTAGTTTTTTGTTTGTTTGTTTGTTTGTTTTCCTATAGGATGTGTCTACTTGCCAGAGAGAGACAGGGAAAGTGAGACTGCCAGACTGAAATCTCTTCTCCTCCATTCTCTTCTCAAGACTTTGGGCATGCATGCATATATGCCCAGTATGCTTTTCAACACACCAAGTCCAGGACTGAAATCAAGAAGTCAGCTATGTAGATTCAGTCACCTTAACTACAATGCTACCCTAAAGGTTCCTATATCCTATCTTTTTCAATTCTCTCTCAATACACATTCATAAAGCAAGTAATAATATACCCATTTTAAAAATAAGGAAATGAGGCTCAGAGAGACTAAACAGCCTAAGGTCACAATTGGTTCTAAAGCAGCAGAATTAGATCTTACACAATGGGCAGGTGCTTGTAGCTTCTCTTATTCCTACCTCTAGAGAAGGACAAATGTGCATAAATACATAAGCAACTGAAAAAAAGGCTTTCAAAATAAAAAGAGAAACTTCAGCAATTTATCTACTAGTTAACTGATAAACAAGAAATACCTTTCACAACACAATGTCTGAGTCTCTGTTGAAGAGAGTGGAATTTTTCTCTTAATGGAACCCTTATGTCCTCAGGATTGGGAAATGCTTTCACAAAAATTTCTGCTACCTTCAGAAAAAAAATTCTGTTAAGTGTTATGAGTTATGACTTTTTTCCTTGTAATTCCTTAAACATTTTAAAATAATGTATTCATTTATATTTTTTAAAATAATAAACGTAAGTAATGTGGTTGTAATATTAATGTACATAGGTAGTTTTCTTTCATATTTATATTCCTGCTTTAGGTTACTTCAAAACACAAATATGTATTTATTACTAATCTTTTCACAGCAGGCCAAATCTCTTTGAGAATAAATCTGCTGACTAGAGTTTAGCATCAGCTATTTTTTTATTTTAAAATATTTAATCAACAAATTAAAGCTGTGTATATTCAAGATGTACAATGTGATGATGTGATATAAGCATGCATTGTTATACTGCCATAGTCAAATGAACTAACACGTGTGTGGTGCTAGATATGTTCATTACTATGACTGTGGTGTATGTGTGTGTGTGCACATGCATGTGTACCAGCATGTGTGGTGAAACACTTATTTTAGGTAATAATATACTATTATTAACTATAGTCACCTTGGATGTCAAGACAGACATTTGATACACAGAACTTAATCAACTTAAAACTGAAAAGTTGTATCCTTTGACCAATATTTTCCTCTTTCCACTACACTCTCATCCCTGGCAACCACCATCCTACTTTTCTGTTCTTATGAGTTTGACTTTTGTGGATTCCACATGTAAGTGAGATCAGACAGCATTTGTCTTTGTGCACCTGAAGGATGTTATGCTAACTGAATTAAGACAAGAACCAGAAAGGCAACATAATTCTTAATTAAAAACTAAAAAATCTTTTAAAGTCTCTTATTCTAATTTAATTTATTTTCACCTATGATCATATTACCTTTCTTACTGGTGGCAATTCTCCAATAAGGCTCAAAATTAAATCTTGAATAAGTTCTTCGATATTAAAAAAACGAGAGAAAGGTAGCATTCTATGAGCCCATTCCACTGCACTGAGACAGTGCTCAACCACACAAGAATCAAACTCCACTTCGAGGTCCTAAATGGATATTGAGAAAATTCATGTCCTTTTCAGGTTAGATGGAAAGACCAGGATGGTGAAAGAAAGTTTTGCTTCAAACAGTAAAATCTCTCATTAAACAATAATTTCCCAAGTAATGTTTGTTTATTGTTTTATTCTTGTGCCAGTAAATACCTTTTCTTCTCTCACATTTTCTCTTGCTTTCTGATATTGCCTGCAACTATAGGATAAGTTATCACGGATATGCAGCATCCAACACAAAGCACAAAGTTCTCTGAAGCAACCTAAAACAGGAACACAAATAGGAAAGAAAACTGTATGAGTATGTACATTAATACCATAACTACTTAATAGTATGCTGCTTTTTTTATTTTCAAATAAATTCTTTTTTCTTTTCTTTTTCTTAGAGGTTTTTGCTATAGGGCCCGTGTGCTCGCCAGACAGAGAGAGAGAGACAGAGAGATAGAAAGCGAGAAATCACCCCCCAGGGGGGGTGGCCATGCCACAATCCCTTCTCCTCCATTCTCCTCTCGGGCACACACGCACATGCACCTGGCGTGAGTTTAAGCCACTGGGTCCGGGACGCAAACTGTGGTCGACTACGTGGGAGTCCAGCGACATAGCCATTATGCTAACTGCTGGTCCCCAAATAAATTCTTTTTTCTATTATAAAAAAACACATGCTCTTTTTATACACACCTTATATAAAAGTCACTGGTCAGATCTTTCCAGAATTTTATGAATATTATTCTAGAATACTTCATACATATTGATTCCATGAAAATATTAACATATTCATAGAGTAAATAAATTACTCAATTTATTATCAGTTTGCTTGTTTTATAACTTCCTAGTATACTGTAAATATTTTTAAAAGCCAGTATATATGGATATATATTACACAGTTCACTTTTTTGGAAAATCACTTAATGAAATACATTTATGTATAAAATTATTTTAAAGCTAAAATAATTTCCAATATTAAATAATTTTATTAAAAGCAATAAAAGTATACAAAGATATAGAAAATCATACTATGTATGCTGCTTTACAACTGCCCTTTTTTGGAGTTTATCTATTTCTTCCATGAGTAAGCATGAGAAAGACAGAACCCGCAACAGGGTCTTGACACTGCAATCCACCCACTTCAGGTAACCTTGGATCATGGCACATACATGTCTAACACACTTGGGGAGGCCTCGGGACAAGAATCCAAAGCTTCCTATGTGGGTTGGTTTTACAAAATATCACTTTTTACTGTTGTGCCACTATCTGAGCTCCTGAAACTAGCTTTTTTTACCCCTCAAGATATCCAAAGATTTTTTTTTTAAAGGTTTTTGCTATAGAGTGATGTGCTTGCCAGAGAACGAGGGAGACAGTGAAAGTGAGAAATCACCCCCAGGGGGAATGATCATGCTACAATCCTCCATTCTCTTCCTGTAATTTTGGACATGCACACACATGTGCATGGCATGATTTTCAAGCTGTGGGGTCCAGTACATAAACTGCAGTCAGCCATGTGGAAGTCCAGTGCCTTAACCACTACACTACCTGCTAGCCTCACTTGTATATCTTTTCATACTAACTCTACTGCCAATGCAGTATGGAGCATCATGATTTAATTATACACAATGCAATCATTCATTATCTAGTTAGCAAAACAATTTTCCACCGTTCTACTAAACTTTTATTTCCTTTATTATAACTAAAGTGTAACCATATCAATAACAACATTGAATGTCAATGGATTAAATTCCCCAATCAAGAGACATAGACTGGCCAAATGAATTAAAAATCAGAAACCCTCCATCTGCTGCCTACAAGAAACCCATCTCATGGATAAAGACATACATAGACGAAAAGTGAAGGTCTGGAAAAAGGTATTCCATGCAAATGGAAACCAAAAAAGGGTGGGAGTCATACTGATTTTGAACAAAATAGGCTTTAAGACAAAAACTGTAAGAAAAGATAAAGGGTATTATATAGTAGTAAAAGGGCTAATTCACCAAGTTATATCTATAACAGTTATATATCTCTATGCACCGAACTCAGGAGCACCCAAATATGAAAAGGAAAGACTGCTAGATCTAAAAGGAGACATAGACTGTAACACCATAATTGTTGGAGATCTCAACACCCCATTATCTCCTTTAGACAGATCAATGAGACAAAAAATAAGTGAAGAGACTCAGGACCTAAATGACACCATAAAACAGATGGACTTGATAGACATCTATAGAACTTACCACCTAAAAAACACAAACTGTTTTCTCAGCCCTGCATGGTACCTTCTCAAAGACTGATCACATGATAGGGCACAAAACCAGCCTTTACAGATTCAAAGGCATAGAAACTATATCCAGCATCTTCTCTGACAATGTTGTAATTAAACTCGATATTAATCTCAGGAAAAGCCCTCAAAAATATACAAATACATGGAAACTAAATAACCTACTTCTGAATGACCTCATGACTACTACAGAGATTAAGATGGAAATCAAAAGATCCATGGAAACTAAAGATAATGAATACACAAGTTTCCATAATCTACGGGATACTGCAAAAGCAGTCATAAGAGGGAAGTTCATAGCAATTAGTGCACACCAGAAAAAGATGGAAAGTGGCAAAAGGTCATTCTACACTACTGTTTTGTGATTAATATGGTATTTTCCTGTAGAAGGATAAAGGTAATCCCCTAAAACAGTGATTCAAGCCTTAATTTTTTTTTTTAATTTTTTTGCCAGAGGGTACATGTGTGGGAAAGAGACAGAGAAACAGTGAAAAAGGGAAAGTAAGGGGGCATATCCCTCCAGAGGGTATGAGCACAATGCAATCCCTTCTCCACTTTTTCCTCATTTCTGGGTTTTTGGGCACGCGCGCACACACACACGCACACAGCATGTCCTTCAATCTGCTGGGTCTCGGATTTACACTTTGTAATTAGCTATGTGGCATCCAGCTGCCGTAATCACAACACCACTGCCTGGTCTGCCTTAACTTTTTTAAATGAACCATATTGGGTCTGGGATTCGAACCATGCAAGTGGCTGTTTGAGACCCAAATAAGTATTTAAATACTGTGTGTGTGTGTGTGTGTGTGTGTCTGTGTGTGTGTGTGTGTGTGTATGAAATCCCCATGGAGTGAAGAAATGTATGACACGGGACTGTGGTATGAACATGCCTCATTGAGGGGGTATTCTCTCCTGGTCCGACCCCATCTGTCTGGTAGTGGACATGCCCTCTAGCAATTAAAAAATTGTTCAGATCTTTATTTAAATAATTTCATATGGCTATGTTCTACTTCTTAGCAAATATCTTTTAAGTGGAGTTGTGAATTCCACTAATTTCTTATAAAGATTTTTTAAAAATAAAATAGATGGAGCCAGCTGGTGGTATAGTGATTAAGGTGCTGGACTCCCACAATGACAACACAGTTAGAGTCCCAGACCTTGTGGCTTGCTCTCTCATGTACTTTCTCTCTCACTCTCTCTCTGTCTCTCTGGTGAGCACACGTGCCCTACTGCAAGTTTTTAATAATAGTAATAATAATAACAGTAAATAAAATTAAATTATTTAAAAATAATTTTTACAAAAAAGTAACAAAATAATACCAAAAGGTTCAAGGTCTGTCCACTTAAAATATCCTAAGTGTCAGGGTCAGCAGGCAGCTGGTAGTTAATGTGCTAGACTTCCATGTGGCTGACCACAGTCCAAGTCCCGGACCCAGTGGCTTGAAACTCACACCAGGCACATGTGTGCACATGCCCAAAATCCCAAGAGGAGACTAGAGGAGAGAGACTGAGGCATGGCCACCCACCCTGGTAGGGGTGATCTTGCTTCCTGTCTCTCCGTATTTCTCCATCTCTCTGGCAAGCACATGTGCCCTATAGCAAAAATCTCTCAACAAAACAAAACAAACAAAGAAATAAAAATAATCTAAGTGTAAGATAATGACTACAGGGAGTAGCCAAGCAGTATGGAGGCTAAGGCAGCTGGATCCCACATGACTGACTACTTGACTACGTTCAAATCCCAGCAGCTTGAAAAACATGTCGGGCATGTGTGTGTGCATGCCAAAAATCCTGAGAGGAGAATGAAGGAGAACAGATTGAGGCATGGTCATCCTCCTGGGGGTGCTTTCTTACCTTCTCTCTTTTTCTCCCTCTGTCTCTCTCTAGTGAGCATACATGCCCTACAGCTAATAAAATAATAAAAATAATAAAGAAAATGACCACAGAAAGGCATTTTGAGTGCTAAAATTCCAAACTTAATAAGGCAATGACAATAATGGCATAATTATCACAATTTGTTTTGTATGATAAGTTTTTAATTTAATAGTACACATATAATATATATATATTTACATGATTGTTAAAACACAGTATTGACCTGTAAACACAAAGTAAAATATTCTGCTCTATATTCTGAAGTGAAACAGTGGTTTAAAATTTTCCCAAATCAAATGAAAATTATATCATTACTTATAGTTAGGCTTAATTTCTAAGCAAGCAGTTCATTTTGAACAAACCTATTGCTCTAATGGAGACTTCATCAAGCTTGTGGTCTCCAGCTGCTCCAGGTCTAAAGAACATAACACTTCCTTTACAGTAATTAAGTAATGACTCAGGGAAAGGACTCAATGAAGGAAGAGACCCTTTTATACGAATCTGAAAGTAAAGAATGACAGAATATGTTAATTTTCAATAGTATAAATCATTTTTAAAAGAATTATTTAATTTTATTTATTATTATTTTACATGACCAGAAGGAGAGACACAAAGTGAAAAGGCAAGCTGCCAGGTCTAGGATGAGAACCATGGTCAGCCATGTGGGCATCCAGCACCTTAATCACCATGCCATCTGCCAGCTTCGTATAAATCATTTTTAAGGAAACTATAAAAGAATAAACATGTAAACAAACCAACAGAATGGAAAACAAAGCACAGTTCTACTTTATAACGAAAATTAGTTGTATTTTCAGTAACTTTGTTTGGAATTTTTAAGTTTATTTATTGGGTTGTCAGAAAAGCCCTGACATATTTTTTCTGTTTCTACGCAAAAAGGTGTCATGGCTTTTCTGACAACCTAATATTTTATTCATTGTATAGGTTGTGTGTACAATATGAGAGAAAGAGACAGACAGGCTCCTCAACAAGATCTCATCATACCGCAATCCCCCTTGGCCGGCCCTGTAGCTCTTCAGGAACTTGGGCACGAGCATACACATCTAGCAGGTTTTCAGGCTGATCTAGGGATCTGAATGCATAGTAGATCAGTGGCTTCAAATACGGCAGTTCAGTTTGCTGCCGACTGCACCACCAGCCTGGACCTGTTCACAACTTTAACTTGAGCAATATACTAGATCATATTTCAAAAGAGAAAAAAGATTCAATTAAATCATTAAGTATTTTCTTGTCACTCAATTTTTCCTGTATGAAGGAACTGAATACTTTTTGTCCCTGACTTTTCCCACAGGCATAATAAGGAAAAAGAAATTCAAGTACCTAAATCTCATCCAAATAAAACAATGTGCAGTATTTAAAAACAATTACAGGGTCCAGCAAGTGGCATGGTGGCTAAGACTCTGGACTCCCATATAGCCGAAGTCCTGGACTTGGTGTGTTTCTCTTTCTCTCTGGCCAAAGTGAAGAATAGTGATGCTAAATGAAATTAAATAAATAATTCTTGGGAAAAAAAATATAAAATAAAAACAATTACGAAAACTATATCTAGGGCTCAGCAGCTGGACCTGGTGGCTTAAAACTCACGCTGGGTGCATGTGAGGGGACTGAGGTATGGCCGCCTCCTTGGAAGGTGATTTCTCGCTTTCTGTCTGTCTCTCTGTCTTTCTGGTGAACACATGAGCCCTATAGCCAAAAAAAAAAAAAAACCTCTCTCTCTAAAAAAATATAAAGTAAGTGCTAAATGAGGTAAAAAGTTGAAGAACTTGAAAGAGGGTGGATATGACCCAAACTCACTAAAATTGAAATAAGCAGACACACATGCCATATGCTATAGTGCAAGGAAGTATAAAACACTTACAAGGATTCACTTCTAAGAAAAGTTGAATCTGAATCTAATCAAACTTCTCTACCTCGATGTGTCTAGATTCATAACCAGATAACGGGAAATAAAAAGGAAGAGGAGAAAGCTAAATAAAACTAAAGAAGAAATGATCAGATAATTCTAAAAATACAGTACATGACAAATTACTCCGTTTCTCCAATAAATCAAAACATTTTTTAAAAGGATGGGGGTTGTTACAGATCAAACAAAAGAGACTGAAGAGACATAAACCTAGGAAGTATTAGCAGCAAGGCTTGCAAGTCCATTTTCTCCCTCAGAAAGGTGTGATCTAACCAAATGCCCTTGTAAGCTTGCTAATGACAGACTTCCTGTCAGATACACTAATGGAGTTTACCAGCAGGATGGTACTAAAAGGCAGAGAGCAGAGCCAGCAAGGAAACAAGAACTTTAGTCCTACAGCCGCATGAAACTCAACTCTGCCAACAGCCTGAATGAGCCTGAAAATGGATTTTTCCCTAGAGTTGTCAAGAGGAACAAAGCTGCTACCTCAATTGGCCTTTTGAGACTAAGCAGAGACATGGCTCAAACTGTGATATAATAAATAGATGTTGTTTTCAGCTGTGTAACTTTTAATAATTTGTTAGGGTAGAAATAGAAAACTAATACAAAATCTTTCTTTTGGCACCATTTATTTTATTGAGATATAATTCACATAAAATAAAATTCACCTTTTAAAAGTATATGATTCGTGGGACCAGTAGTTGGCGTAATGGCTATGTTGCTGAACTCCCACATAGCCGACCGCAGTTCGAGTCCCAGACCTGGTGGCTTAAACTCACGCTGGGCACGTGTAAGTGTGTGCCCAAGATCCCGAGAGGAGAATGGAGGAGAAGGGACTGTGACGTGGCCATCCCCCTGGGGATGATTTCTCGCTTTCTCTCTCTCTGTCTCTCTCTTTCTGGCAAGCGCACGCACCCTGTAGCAACCTCTCCAATAATAAATAAATTTTAAAAAAATAAAAGTATACAATTCAGGGGCTGGCAGGTGGTGTGGTGGTTAAGGGTGGTGGACTCTCACAAGGCCAACCACGGTTTGAGTACTGGACCTGGCAGCCTGCTTTCTCACTTTCTCTCTCTCTCACTCTGTCCCTCTCTGGTCAAATAAAAATAAATAAATAAATAAATAAACTTAAATAAAATAATTCTTTAAAAATAAGTATACAATTCAGTAGCTTTTAGTATATTCACAAAGTTAAGAACCATCACTACTTTCTAATTCCAGAACATTTTTATTACCTCAAGAAGAAAATCATTAGCAATCATTTCCTATTTCTCCCTCTCTCTAACCACTGGCAATCACTAAACAATTTTCTGTCCCCACTGTGAAAGCAAGATACCCCTAGAAAGAGTACAATTTTAGTTCACATTTTAATGGTATTGTATGTACATTTCAAAATTCTCTCTCTCAAAAAAAAGGCTACTTTCCAAAAATATTTGATAACTTCTCAAAGTCTTTTTTTATAATTAATTAATTATTTTAATTTGACCAGAAGAAACACAAGGCGATAGGGGGAGTGAGAAAGCAAGCCACCCGGTCCAGGACTCAAACCGTGGTCAACCATGTGGGAGTGTCCGGCGCCTTAACCACCACACTACCTGCTGGCCCCCACTTCTCAAAGTCTTCCTAAAGGTTTTTACTAAAACGTTGTACATATTTGTTTTTAAATTTAATTTTTTTATTATGATTTCAGGTTTACATAAAACTGATATACTATCTTTGTGGGCTACAATATGGTTCTTAAAGGCATATATCAAATAAAGATATCCACATTTTCATCATCTTCAACAGCGAGTATTACATTATGTTGTGTACATTTGTTAATCGTCCTACTTATTTTTTTTTTAATTGTCAGACGGTGTGTGCTTGCCAGAGAGAGACAGTGATAAAGAGGTTAAAGTGCCCCTAATGGGCACTGACCTTCTCCTTCATTTCTCCATCCTGTTGGGATTTGGGGAATGCACACACTCAGGTCCAGTATATTTTCCAAGCCAACCAGGCTAGAATTCAGACCACGGTCAGTTACGTGGAATCCAGCTCATTTTAATCACTAGGCTATGGGACTGGCTTATCTACTACTAGGTGTTTTGTTTTTGTTTTAAATATTATTGGTTGATATTTTTTATTCTGCTGTGATACACCATCCTGCATTCTCTTCCCCTTATTTACATGCATTCTTTTTTTTTTTTTTGAGAGGTTTTTGCTATAGGGGGCGTGCGCTTGCCAGACAGACAGAGACAGAGACAGAAAGCGAGAAATCACTCCCCAGGGGGGATGGTCCCTTCTCCTCCATTCTCCGTTCGGGATCTTGGGCACGCACGCACACGTGCCCGGCGTTGAGTTTTAAGCCACCGGGTCCAGGACACGAACCGTGGTCGACTACGTGGGAATCCAGCAACATAGCCATTACGCTAACTGCTGGTCCCTTTACATGCATTCGTGAATTCATTTGAAATTATCCCACAGGGACAGGGCCAGCCCTGTGGCCTAGTAGTTAAGGGAGATCAATCACATATGGTTGATCATGGTTTGAGTCCTAGAGTCTCTGGCTTGAAAAACACTCGGGGTCTGTATGTGTACCTGTCCCAAATCCTGACGGATAGGGAAATGGAGGAGGGATTGTGGCATAACTATTGAAGGATGCTTTCTCTTCCTCTCTGTCTCTGTTTCTGTCTCTCTCTCTGGTGGGCAGACACAACCTCTGGCAATTAAGGGAAAAAAACATGAGAAAAAATGATCTCACAAACCCTCCCTGCCAAGCAGCCCCTGCATCTACCAAAACTATCTCTATTTCTATGCTTTTGAGTCCTTCAGTTTCCTCCACAGAGTGTACACTTCAGTATGTGTTATGCAGGGACATATACTAGGGGTTGTTGGAAAAATCATGACATATTTTTTTCTATGCAAAAATGCATCATGACTTTTCCAACAACCCAACAGTACTCGTCTTTCATAGTCTGGCTGATTTAATGTAGCATTATATTTTCTAGATTTGTTCATTGTATCAAATGACAAGACTTTGTTTTTCTTTATGGCTGACTAATATTCCATTCTGTGAATGTACTGTATTTTCCCATTTATTGGTTGCTAGATACTTAGGTCAAGTCAATGACTTAAGCTACTGTGAATAATGCTGCAATAAACATGGATGTGCAAATGTCTCTCTGATTGAGTGATTTCCTGTCCTATGGGTATATACTCAATATAGGTAAATACCCAAAGGCAGGTCTTACAGTAATTCTATTTTTAGATTTTTGAGGAAACTCTTTACTGTTTACCACAGTAGCTGTATTTTCCACAGTGGCTGTACTAACTTACATACACCCATCAGCAATGCATAAGGATTCCCTTTTCTCCACAACCTCACCAGCACTTATTTTTTGTGCTTTTGTTTGTTGCTTGTTTTTAATCATAGCTGCTCTGACTGAGCTTAGGTGAAGTATCATTGTGGTTTTGATTTGCATCTCTCTTATTTTAAGGGATGTTGAACATTTGTTCACATACTTCTTAGGCATTCACATGTCTTCCTTTAAGAATTGTCTATCCAGGGGCCGGCAAGTGGCATGGTGGTTAAAGGCGCTGGACTCCCACATGGCCAACCATGGTTCAAGTCTCGGACCTGGTGGCTTGCTTTCTCACTTCCTCTCTCTCTCTCTGTCTCTCTCTGATCAAACTGGAAAATAATAATGATAATAATAATAAATAAAGTTAAATAAAATAATTCTTTAAAAAAAAAAAAAGAATTGTCTATCCAGATGAACTGCCTGTTTGATTGGATTATTTTTCAGGTGAGCTGAGTTCCTTATATATTCTGTTAGTCGATCCTTTGTCTGAAGGACATTTTGTCTGTTTTTTATAATGTAGTTAGTTTGTTCCTTTAAAGATTTCCTTATTCTTTCACTTTTCATGTGCCCCTGCATTCCTTTCAGCATCTGAAGGAGTATGTATTTCTTCCCAACCTCTGGATTAGGCTATTTCAGTGGTGATAACATTTTTTCTTCAATTTGAGCTCTACTTATGGGAGACTTTATGTATTTTCAGAGATACCAGTGAGGATACTGGGGCCTCCAGGGCAGTGTTTTTAGGTTCTAGGGGAAGTTGGCGTTGTGTACTGGTGTTCCACCTGTAAGGGGTGGGGGACTCCCTTGAATCAATGGTACTTGGTGTCCTATAGTGTGGTTGCCAGAGTTTTCAGACCCTGGGTAGGGAGCAGGATCCTCCTCTATGGGAGGCAGTGAGTGAAAGAATCAGCTGAAAATAAATAACACCCTCTGGATTGGACGGTTGCATACAGAAAGGATGTAGGTGTTGGTTGAGAACTCATGACTTAAAGGGTGGTAAGTTGTTTAGTTAGATAATTGTGTGCAAGCCGTGGAGACAGAAGAAGCTGCCCACTCCAGTGCCTGATTCTCTCCATGGCCATGGCAGCCTTTTGCAGGTAGACTGATACAGGCAGGAGCTGTAGGTATAGGACAGGGCTAGACACACCCTCTTGTGAGACTATAAACCTGTGTGGGAACTATGTACCACCTCTGTGCAGCTGGGAGGCAGGGCAGTGGCTGCTGTAACTTTGTGTGGCTAGAGGGCAGAGCTAGAGTAGGTCTGCCTACTGGGTCAGAGAGCCAGGCTGTGAACCAAAGGGAACTTCAGAAAATGCATACCTCCGGCTGGCAGGACCAGCGACTGCTGCCTGTGTCTCTGCACCTGGAGGGCAGGACTGGAGCTGCCATGTGTCTGTAAGACCACAGGGTGAGTGAAAAC